GCCCGAGGCCAGTCGTCGTGTTCTTTTCTGTCGACGCGAGGGGGTCTGGGCCTGCAGGGGGAGGGAAAGGGTAAGTCGCCGCTTCCTGAAATGCTTCCGCCCGAGGCGGCTACGGCCGTGGCGAGAAGAGCGCCCTCCATGCAGAGGCGGAGGGAGGGAGAAGGACGCAGAACACAGGCCTCGAACCTCGGTTCTCGAATCTCCTCCTCCCCTCCTTCTCGACGCCAACCTGATGGACACTCCGCAGACCGAAACTCCGATCGAACAGCCTCTCCTATCGATCGGGCCGATCTCCTCCGCCAACCCGCGCGAGAATTTCGCGCCTTCCCGCGCGCTGCCAGCGCGCGCCGAAGAGCGGGGCCAGGGGGGGGAGGGTGGTGCATCATGGCCGGAGGCATGGGCGCGGACGAGGGGGCGGCCAGGGCAACGCCTCGAACGAAGGGGAGGGCTACGACCTACCAACCCACCCCAACCCAACCCGAAGACCCGAATGTTGGGTTTAGGGGGGGACGGGTTCCATATGCGTTTGTTTCAATGTTCCCCGACCCCCCCCTCTGAAAATGGGGGGCAAATTGAGGCCTTTGGATTGGGCAGTGAGAGGGGCCCCTGAAATATGGGCGTTCGTGGCCCCGGCCATGAGATCTGCACACACACAGACACACACAGACACACACACACACACACACACACACACACACACACACACACACACACACACACACACACACACACACACACACACACACACACACACACACACACACACACACACACACACACACACACACACACACACACACACACACACACACGCACGCACGCACGCACGCACGCACGCACGCACGCGCACGCACGCACACACACACACACAACACACCACACACACGCACGCACGCACACGCACGCACGCACACACACACACACACACACACACACACACGCACGCACGCACGCACGCACGCACGCACGCACGCACGCACACACACACACACAAACACACAAACACACAAACACACAAACACACAAACACACAAACACACACACACAAACACACACACAAACACACACAAACACACACACACAACACACACACACACACACCACACACACACACACGCCACACACACACACACGCACGCACGCACGCACGCACGCACACACACACACACACTGGCCCCCCCCCGTGATTTTTTCAATCCAGGGCCCACCGAAGTCCCGACCCCTTCCCCAGGGCTGGTTTCCTAGCCCGAATACTTGTTTGACGGCCCTGGGGCCCAGCGAAGGCCCCAGAAATCCGAAAGCGGCAACAATTTTACTGTCCTGTATTTTTCCACGGCGCGAGCATGTCTGGGCTTCACTGCCCCGCTACGCAACACGCAGCACGCAACACGCAGCGTGTTGGCACGGAGCTCAACACGCAGACTCAGACGACCATCGCAGGTCTGGGATGCGCTCGCCAAAACGTGGCCCAACGCGCGCCGAGCCAACACGCAGCGAGCTAACACGGACGGCTTGAACACGGTTCGTGCCGTGTGTTCAACACGGGCGTCTCGGGGCAACCGAGCGTCTGGTTTGAAAGCTCCCGACACAGGGCACCCTCCCTGGTGGTGCTTGCCCTCCTCGGTGCTCCGCTCCTCGGCCGCGCGCGAGGGGCGCAAGTAGTGCGCCGCCGCCCCCCTCTCGTGGCGGGCCCCTCCCGTGAAACGCCCCTCGCCGTCGATGCGAGGCCGGGGTCTGTACACGTGCACCTCCTGCCCAGGAGAACGGATGCCCTGGGAGCCCAGGGGGCGGTGGACATGGATGTCTATGCTTGGGCCCCCTGCGGCCAGAGTGCGCCCGCATCCACCGCCCGCCGAGGTCCCCGAAGATCGATTCCCCCAGGCGACGGTTGCGGGTAGAGCCCCGCCTCGAACTCGAGGCTCCCCATGTGGGGAGCCTGCCCACGGCCCGCGTCTCGGAGGCGAGGCTCGGGTGGTTCGTCACGGGAGGGGTCGGGTTGTTGGGGTCGGCTAGATGTCCTCCTCCTCCTCCTCCTCCTCCTCCTCCTCCAACGCTTCGGAAATCCGTATCGATTTCATGGATCGGCGCTGGACTCCCCATCCTGGCGGGCGAGGCGCGCCAGGGGCGGTGTCGGAGGCGCCGCCAGGGAGTTCCAGCGCGGATCCAAAGAATCCGCGCGGACCTTCGAACAGTTACTTGTACTCAGATCTCTGTTTCGAGCCACAGAAGTGGCTCGCTTAGCCAAGAGTGAGGGGCAACGATAAGGGGGGGACTGGCCTAGGGGGCGATGTGTGAACCTGGAATCGGCGATACATCGCCGATACATCGGCGATAGGCCTCCGATAGTGAATCCGAACCTTCCTGGGCAGGTCGGGGCTATCGGGCCCCTATCGGCGATCAATGGGCGAGTGGGGGTCGATGCATCCCCCCCTATGCCTATCCCCCCTATCGTTGCCCCTGACAAAGGCCTGTTGGGCCGCCTCTGGCCCCACCCCGGGTCCTGGCCGACGCAGCCGGTGTGCATCGAGCACAGGGTGCTGTCCATGCCAGCGGCCTCCGCGGCGGGGACGCCTGCCACCTCGTCCTCCCGCCGAGGTCTGCCCTCGGCCTTCGTGGATCAAGGATCGAAGCTTCTCGATGCTCGCTGGACGTGGGGATGTGGAAACATGATCGACCCACGAACCTGGAGAGGTACTTAGACATGCGAGGCATGGCGACGTTTTCAAGACACCCGACTGGGCGACGGGCAGTTGCAACGCTGAAGGTACCGATCGTGATGATGTGTGCCAAAGGTTGTGCTGTGCTCTGCGTGCTGACATGACATGAGTCATACCGCAATTGAATGCATTGTGCTCTATAGCGTTGTGGATCAAGTCGTCCTTGGCATCCGAACTAATCTGGATCTTGAGTTCGAGCTGACTGAGCGCATAGCAAGCCCAGAGCTCATTGCAGTCGAAACGTGTGGGACGCTCAGCGCGAGCTCAAGATCCGATTCAGTTCCGAAGCGGGACGAGACGACACGGGGCGCAGGGCGCATGGAGGCGCCACGAGATGTGCCAGCGGCGCACTCGGGGATGCGCCAAGGGACACGCGCCACGGAACGGGCAGGGAGGGGACAAGCCAGGGTACGAGACACAGGACGACCAAGATGCCCTCGGAATCTTATACGAATGGCGCGTGATTGATCATCGGAGTTGAAATTTGCGTTGCCTTGTGCTGACGCGCGGTGAACGACCATGGCCCTCGTGGACACGTGTGCGCTCGTCAAGGCGCTAAGACGGGGACGCGCATCCGCCCCCCGCGGCGCTGGCAGCACCCCTGGGCGCGCGGAGCGACACGACAGAGCAGCGCGGCAGACGAGCAGAGCAAGCCACCCAACGCCCAGTCTTTCCGAGCTCCGGACGTGCACCCGCGAAGTCGGTGCAGGCCCCTGGCCTGGCCACCTGGCGTTGCGTGCTCTGCCTTGCTCGAACCTGCTTGGATCGCCAATTGGCTTTGCACCCTTGCACGGCCCTCTTCCTTGGCGCGCCCGAGTTGGGGTTCCAAAAACTCTGTGATGACGGACCGCGTGGCGACCTCGGCATCCCCGCCACGACTTCACCGCGCGGTCAGTCGCCCCACGGCTTTAGGACCTCGGGTGCCAGGGCGCTGGAGACGTGTTCGGAGAAAGACTCGAGTCCCGAAGCCGTGCGGTGACCCTGGATCCTGCTGCTTCCTCCTCCTCCTCCTCCTCCTCCTCCTCCTCCTCCTCCTCTTCCTCGCTTTCTTCCCTGGATCCCCACCGACTCGCCACGCGGCGTTCCCGCCAAACCGTTCGGGGGGCCCCCGCCCGGGCGCGCCCTGCTTCCAGCACTCCGCCCGGGGCCTGGGCCGCTGCACGCCGCCGCACGAGGCGCATGGTCTGAAAGGACCGCCTTCCCTTCCCCTCCGCGGCCCGCCCGCAACCTGCTGCGCAGTAGCTTAGCCCTGCGCCTGCCCGGCCGATCTGCGCGAAGGCCAGGCCCGCGACACAATGAGGCGCCCCCTCAAAAAAAACATAAAACGCGTTTTTGACCCGTTTTCGGGGGGTCCGCGGATGCACCCGGGAGCACCCACGGGGACATCCTGGGCCGGGGCCTGGAGCGATTGCAGGACTTGCCTCCGGCGTTCCCTCCTCCCCCCTTTGTACTCCTTCTGAATGAACTCCTGCCCGTCGCACCACCGGGCGCGTCGATGGGGCGGGCCGGGCGTTTTGCCTGAGACTCCCTCCCCAATTTTCATCCTGAGACTTGAAACGTGGAACACTTTGAAGGATGCAGGGCGGGCGGTGTTCATCATGTGGCTCCCACATCGCTGCCGCGTACAGTCGTGCCAAACATGTGCAATCCCTTCGAGGATGGAGGGCGGACCGTTTTCGAAATTTAGCTCTCGCCTCGGCCCCGCGCGCATGCGTCTGCAAATTCTGCAACACGCGTTCCAATGGGGCACTTCCCGCGATGAGAATTACCCCGCCCCGCGCTTGCGATGGGTCATCGGGCGGAGCCGCGGCCGCCGCCCGCGGGGTGGCTCAAGGGTCCCGCGCCCCCGGGCGCCGTCGCGAGCCGAGCGGCGCCGCTCGGGGGAAGGAGATCTCCTGCGCGCTGAAGAGCACGCGCAGCACGTAGCGCCGCCTGCATCGTAAGAAGAACGGGCGAAGTGGGGGGTGACGAGATGCCACAGCAGCGCAAGCGCGCGCGAGGAGGGATAGTAAGAAACAGCACTCTCCCGCCCCGCGCGCGCGATCGAGCGTCGGGCGGAGGCCGTGGCCGGCGCGCGCGGGGGGCCTCGAGGGGCCCGGGCCGCCGGGCGCGTGCGCGAGCCGAGCGGCACTGCTCAGGAAAAGGAGGCCTCCCGCGTGCCGAAGAGCCCGCGCAGCCAAGTCACACGCGCTCGAAGCACTCGCGCAGTGACAAGGCTTTGGCGGGCGGCCGAAATTTGCGCGGACCGCGCAGAAGGGACCACGGCAACAAAGGAGGCGGCAAGGCGGTCGCAAGCGGCAGCGCTGCACGCAACGCGCGCGCGAGCTAACGCAGGAAGGGCGGGCACGACGGGCACAGCGGCGGCGGCTTCGAGATCGCGCTCGGCGCTCGAGGCCCGGCGCCAGCGGCCGCGTCTTCAGTGGCCGCGTGGAAGCCCGTCGCCCATGAACATCGCGCACGGGCAGGCGCGCGCCGCGCTGGATAGCAGGGCGCCCGTGGCCGAAAGCAAATGACCCCACCGAGTGCGGAAGCCTCTCTGCCCGATGGGCGCGAGCGGACTGGTGGAACGCAAATGCTAGAACGCCAGTTCCAGGGGCCTCGCCGACGACCCGTCGGGGCAATGGGCGTGCTGCGTCGGACAAGTGCGGCGGGTCTGCGGCGCCTCTACGGCAAGGAAGGCATCGCCGCTTGTCTCCAACCCATCGCTAGGCAGCGAGAGGTCGCAGCGGCGGGCAGCCAACAGTTCGCCAGGGCCGAGGAACGCAGCGAAACCCATCAGCAGCAAAGCTGCCATGAGCGGCCAGGCCAGTCCCAGAGCAAGCCGAGACCAACCGTGGCCCGAAGTAGGGCGCGAGGCAACAGCGGGCGGGGCGCGGGGGGCCCAGCGAGCCCCCGCTGCTCGGCAACGCCCCAAGCCTCAGAAAGGAAAGCGCGCCAGGGCGCCCGCGAAGCCGCGCGCCGAACGTGGCAAGACGCCGCTCGAGCAGAAGCCCGCTGCGAGAAAAGCGTGGCTGGGGCGATGCGAGGATGCCCCAAACCCGCGCCCGAAGGCGTCGACAGACTTCGAGCGCCGATCCAGGCCCCTGCCTCGCCCCCGCAGGAGGGCCGGTCGCCGCCGCGGCGGCGTCGGCGGCGGCGAGCGCGGCGGCTGCAGAGGCGACGCAGACGCCGCGCGCGCGCCGTGGGACCGGCCCACTCGCGACGCAACCCGGCTCGCTCCCGCCTGGAGATGCAACCCGGCTCGCTCCCGCCTGGAGACGAAAAACGGGGAGGGGGGGAAGCTCGCGGCCGGCGAACTCGACCCCCGAGTTGACAGCCACGTCCGGACGCGCCTCTCCGCAAAGAAGGCGCCCGCCCCGAGGGCCGCGCAGCGCGCGGGCGCCTCCGCCGCGCCTCCGCCTCGGACGGCAACGCGTCTCCCGCTTCGACCACAGCACGGCGGCGATCGCCGTGGCCCGTCGGTGCCGGGTCACGTTGTTCCCCAAGCCGACGCACCGAGTGAACCATGGCGCGAGGGGGGGCGACAGCCCCGCTCGGGCGGCCATCGGAGACGACGGCGCTCGCAGCGAGCAGCTCGTCGGTGAGCTCCGCGGGGCAGACGCCGCCCGCCTGGGACAGGCGGCGATGCTGCCAGAGGGCGTGGGAAAGGCAAGGCAACGTCGAAGCGTCGTCTGCATCGTTGGGCCCGCCCGGCGCGAACCAGCGGAAACGCGACAAGGCGCTCTGAAACGCGTCGCCCCAGTCTGGCACGCAGCGGACGACGGTCCGAGGCTATCTAGCCACTTCACGGCACCGCCCCAGCGCGCTCGCCGCGTTCGGCGGTTGCGCCGATGCCGCGGGTGAAGTTTCGAACGGACCGCCGGGCGCGCGAGCGGCGTGAGCCAGGGCCGCCGGGGGGGAGAGCGACCCGAGTCGGGCTCGCTTCCGCTGAACGGCGCATGGGATGGGCGCGGACGCGCGGGCGGGAGCCCACGTCGCGGCGAGGAGCGGCCGGCTGGCCCGCCACCTCGGGCGCCGCGGCCGCGGGGGCCCCCGCCGGCAACGCGCCCTGCTCCCTGCGGGGCCGTGGCCCCCATGGTTCAGGTGGCTTCCGAGCGCGCCCATCCTTCCGCCCCCCGCCAAGCTGAGACCGTCGGCGGTGCGGGAGGACCCAGGCAACACCAGCAGGATACCCCCTTGGCTGAGACGCCAGAGGGATCACGGCGTAGCCCGCCTCGCCCTCGTCCAACCGTCAGCGATCGTAGCGAGTGGCTGACGGAGGAGCGAAATGGTGGAGGTCAGGCCACACTGGCGGCCCATCGGGGATGGCGAGCCCCCCTGCCGCAGCAGCAGCGGCCGCCATGGCTGGCGACGCGAACGCTAGCCTGGGGGAGCTGCGGGCGGGCCATGCGAAGTGGCCCGCGCGCGGTCCTCAGCCCGCGCTCCCGGGCTGTAGGCCAGGGCGCGCTGCGCACCGCGACCGCGCACGTCGAACCCCCCGATCGCGGTCCGCGCACGAGGGAGGCCCGTCAAGCCCCACGAACGGGCCGCGAACGCCCCGATGCAGCAGCCTCCGCAAAGGCGGCAGACGGCAGTGGCACCGAGCAGAGCCACGACCATCGAAAGCAGCAAGGGCCGTGCAGCAAGGGGGTCACCCCGCTGCTCAGGTCCACCGCCGCCAGCCCGACGCAGACAGTGGGGCAAGCCGCAGCCCGAAGGGCAGAAAGGGCAATGCCCCCCGCCGCCCGAGTCGGCCTGAGCGGACCACGGGGTCCCCGCGGAAGGAACAATGAGGTCCGCAAGTGGGGGAAACGGTTGACCCACGAGCCGCTCGTAGAGCGCGGCTCGCAGGCCCTGGAAAAATAAGGCCCCCACCCCCTCGATGGCAGCCCGGGCGAACGCCTGCATAAGTCGCTTGTCACGGGAAGCCACGCGAAGGTTTGGGCCGAGATGCTACAGCAGCCCAGACGCGCGCGAAGGGGGATAAGTTAGAGAGAGCACAACTTACATATTGCATGGGAATGTGATTAGAGAACTTGTAAGGCGTGTTGATTGCAACATATTTGATGCGTCTTGGCTTCACTAGTCCTTCTGCTCCTCCTCCTCCTCCTCCTCCTCCTCCTCATGACCCCTCTCAGGCTCTTACGTTTTCCTCCACCCCCTCCTCCCCGTCGTGCTGCTACTGCTACTGCTGCTGCTGCTGCTGCTCCTCCTCCTCCTCCTCCTCCTCCTCCTTCTCATCCTCCTCCTCCCGCTGCTCACGCGCACGCACTGCTGGTGGAGGCGACGGTGGCAACGAAGGCGCGCAGCAGCGGCTCGCTTCTCCTCCCGCTTCGTAAGACGAAGGCAAGATGAGGACGGATCTCTGAGACCAGGGGGATCTGGAGCGGGCGCCGCGTCCGTTCCAGAGCGCTCCAGGACGCCCTGGAACTGGTGGTCTTGCTTCCCACCGTCCTCCTCCTCCTCTTCGTCCTCCTTCTCCTTGTCCTCCTCGTCCTTCCACCCTCCAACTTGTGGTGGTGGTGGTGGTGGAAAACAAGCCCATCGGGAACTAGTTGCCCTCATCCCAAGCCTGCTTCCCCTCGGCCTCTCCCCCCTCACTCTGCATCACGCTCCTCCTCAGACCGGGCCGCTCTCCTGGAACCTCTCGGTGGCGAAGGAGCCACCGCCGCAGGCGCAGCAGTTCCTGCTGGCGGCGCGCACAAGGGGGTGGGGGGAGGGGGGAGGGCTTCTTAGTAGGACGCTGCTTCTAATGACGATCGAACAACACGCACCCATACCCATAGGGGGGACGGAGGAGGCTATGGGTGCGTGTTGTCGGATGGGGGTCCCCGCTCGAACGGGAGCTTCCCCCAGGGTCCGACAACTCGCACCCATACCCATAGCCAGTTCCCCTCCTTTCGACCCTCCTATGGGTATGGGTGTGAGTTGTTCGCTCGTCATCTTAGAAGGCGCCGGCCCCTCACATCTATGGAGGAGGCCCGCGCCTCCTGAGAAGCAGGGGTGCTTCTCAGAAGCCCTCCCTCCCCCTCCCCCCCCCCCGTGTGCGCGTGGCCGATCCTGGTCGGCTGGTTCAGGTCCGAGCCCGCCACGGAGGGGATCTGCACTTCGTGGCCCTGGCCGGCCGGCACGGGGGGAGGCCGGGAGGCGGCTCCCGGGCAGGAGCCGGGCATCTCCGCAGGCCCACCTCCCTCCTCCTCCTGCCTCCCCCCCTCCTCCGCGGGTTGCTGCACGCCTCTCCCACAAGGGGAGGGGGAGGAGCGAGGTGGTCATGCAACAGCTGTCCTCCTCCGAGTGCACAAGAACGGGGCATGGAAACGAGGCCAGGCCAAAGAGCCACTAAGGTTTCAACCGAAGTAGGGCGAATGTGACACCGAAGTAGACGGGATCCAACGGATTTGTATGACTCGACCGTGGATGTGCTGGCGTCGATGCTGAAACTCGCTGTCCAGGAGATACCACCTGGAGAGGGGTAGAATGAAGGACAAACACATGGGCTCAAACTGGATCCACAGGCTAAGGCCGCCACGAGCCCAAGAAAAAGATGGGCCATTCTCGATGGGGTCGTCGCACAGACACGCTACAATCACCGTGCTACCATAAGAAACGCTGAATACGGAACGAAGGGGCGTATATGGCCACGGCGAGCCTCGGCCTTTAATAGGTTCTCTGGCCTAGATGCAAGGAGCGCCCCCCAAACTAGAGCCCCTCACGATCCCAAAGTGGTCCTTATCTCAGCGTCTTGACTGTACGCTGGCATGATCGCCAGCACGGGGCTTCAGTCTGGTGCGGGTACTGGGGTTAGAAATTTGGAGAAGGAGTCGCGTGAGTCTGCGGACCTGGTCACGCATTGAATCCCAGTAGCAAGAGGAAGGACATGAGTTGACCTGGCAGAGCCAGCGAGAACCCCCCACTGGTTCGCAGCCGCACCGTGCGCCCCATGGTGCCCTGACACGCTCCGCGGAGTCCTGGCAACAGAGATCGGAGCTCACCAAGGCGGACAGCGGCACGCGCACGCGCAGGGAGGGCAAGCACCTATGGACCCCAGTCTTGGGACACCCCTCGGAGGAATCCCTGGGGGAACCCCGAGCGAAGTCAACAACACGACATCCAAGTGGTCCCCAGGGATCCCAAGTGGTCCCAAATGGTTCCCAGGAGGCTTCCAGAAATTTCCAGAAGCCCAGGGTAAGCAAACCATGCACACGCAAACACATCGATCCTCCTCATTCCTTCCCCGGTGGGCCAGCATGCCAGGCGAACCAGCGTGACCTCCTTCCCCGGCGCGCGGGGGCGCAGCACTGCCACCTCGGCCGCCGGGGCTGCCGAGGGGAAGCGGCCTGGTAGCACCACTTCTGGGCCGCGTACGCGCCGCAGGTGTACCCCGTGGGGGTGCAGCCGGGCCCGGCGCAGTTGGAGTTCCCGTCCGTCCAGCCCGAGGTGTCGTGGCAGGTCCTGGCGCCGCGCGCACCTCCGCCCCCCGGCGCGCCCTCGCCGAGCTCCGTCGCCCTCGCCCCTCGACGGTCGAGCGGGAGGGCTTTCCGCACGCCGTTTGTGCTGCCCGGACCTCTCCCGAGCGCGTTCTGACCAGAATGTCAAGGCGGATCCAGCCGTGGCGACGAGGGCCTCCCAGGAGGCCCCCACAGTTTCGAGAACGAGGCGAGGGTAAGAGTATCGGTGCACTTTCCTCCTCTGCGCAGGCGCCAACGGCGTTGGCCCCCGCCCAGCCTGCGGCAGCCTCCACGACGGATCGGGGGGCATCCGGAGAGGAGGAGCCCGAGGAGGGGGGGAGGCGTAGCTCCTGGCCCGAGGCACGTGCGAAGCCCAGACGTGTTTTTTTTTTTTTTTTTTTTTTTTATTATTATTTTTATTTTTTGTTATATATATATATATATATATATTGTGGGGAGACAGTTAAAAAAGATGGTTTTCCCCAGCGCTGTAGTGCGCCTACAGAAAACAAGGGGAGGGCCTCAAGCTATATCGCTCGCTGGCGACGTCCCCGCGACCGCCCTGGCGCCCTGCGTGCAGGGGCAGATTCCTGCGCGCCCCCTCTTGGCGTCAGGCCACGCCTGCCACGCCCTGCGACCCCAGCGTGGATAGAGACTGCGCTCAAGGACCACTCCCTGCGCACCGCGCACCCTGTCTGGTTGCGAACAAGCCACACCTGACACGCCCGAGCCTGGCGTGGAAACAAACCGCACTTGGGGACCATCCCTTGCGCACGCCCTGTGGTGCCGAGAGGGCCACAAGTACTTTAAGATGGCCTCCAAGATGGCGCAATCTGGTCCAAGTTGGCTCAAGATGGCCTCGTCAGATCGGCGACATGTGATAAACATATTATGCAATCAACGTTTGTTTTCGGAGGCGGGGAGTCGAGGCGGAGAGGAGCGGAGGCAGAGTGGAACAACAGGACAGGAGAGGGGCTAGACCAGGTTAGACGAAGGCCGGATCGCCTTCCAGGCCAGAAAGGCCCTCAGCAAGCCGCTCAGTTCGAGGCCGCACCAAGGCTACACCAGGTTACAGCGAAGGTCGCACCGCCCTCTGGGCCAAATTTGCGGGGCTACACCAGGATACGATGAAGACCGTCCCCCCTCTGGGCCACGCAAGCGGGGCTACACCAGGTTGCAGCGAGGGCCGGCGCGCCCTCCAGGCTAGACATAAAGGGCTACACCAAGCTACAATGTCACATCGGCATTCTCCCTGGTACCGAGGTGTATGCAAGTGGCATTGATCGGCATCCATGGAATTGTTCATTAGCATGGCCCTGGCCAACATGTGTATATTTATATACATACATACATACATACATACATACATACATACATACATACATACATACATACATACATACATACATACATACCCCCCGTGGTCACCACCTCCCTTTTGGCCGCCCCCGAGGGGGCCTCTGGGGATCTCTGGGGGTCAGGATCCGGGGCGACAGCAAAACGTACCAGGACATCCCACCGCCAGTCGTGATCGCCCCTCGCCTTCCTTTGCAAACCCGTGCCGTTCCCGAAGGTGGTCGCTTCTGCCCTCTTCGCGCCGCCCGTCCCGTCACGCTGCCCTGCCCCGCTCCGTCCTGCACTTCGGGCTACCTTCCTCGACTATTCCCCCCTCTTTCTCTTGACTGGGAGGGGCGCGGAAACGCGGGCAGCCCAAGGCCGCTTACCAAGACATCGTCCCCTTTCTCCGTTATTATCCTCCTCCCTCCGCCTTGTCCTCAACTTCCCTCCCTCGTATGGAACCGAGCGCTGCATGTCTGTCCTCACCGCGCTTGCGCCCGACCGCGCAGCAGCGAGACGTGGGCATCTGGGATTAAAAGCCTGGGCGGTGGCGAGGGTGCCCGATGCCCAAAATCCGCCGACCCTGTCGACGTGTGTGAGGGGCTTGTCCATTCGAGTCGTCGTCTTCGTCATTCGTTAGTCGTCGTCTCTGTCGTCCCCTTTCTCTGCGCTCCCCCTTTCCCTAGGCCCGTCACCGCTGCCCCCCCCCTCTTTCCCTGGGCCCTCCTCCTCAAGCGCTGGCCCGTCGCCGCTCCCCCCCCCCTTCCCAAAGTCCTCCTCCTCGAGCGCGCTAGCCAAAGCGAAATCAAGCAACGTTGAAAGTGACTCGAAGGGAAGCTCATTCTCTTTGATCCCTCCCCCGCAGGGGGTCCCGGGGGGGTCCCCGGGGGGTCCCGAGGGGGATCCCGAGGGGGGGTCGCAGGGCATGTGCGACTCCCCTACGGGGGGTCCCGGGGCCAAAAAAACCCAAGAAGTGCCTAGAGAGCCCCAAGAGGCCCCCAAGACGGTCCAAGCGGGCCCCGAATCGCCGAACGATCTGTCCAAGACGCCTTGACTGCCTCCAGACGGCCCAAGAGCACTGCAAGACGCTCCCAGAGGACTCCAAGAGCACCCCCAAGAGAGCTACAAAAGGATAAATCACTCCTTGCCCATCGGTTTTTGAAGCATTTCGGCGTTGTCGCCTCTTCCGCTTGCCCACGCTCCACGAGGCCCCCCAGATCGGCCCATGACCGCCCAAGAGGGCTCCAGGAGGGACCCAAAATGGCCCAAGAGGTCCCTAAGACGGCCCAAGACGCCTCCAAGGCGGCCAAAGAGGCCCCCAAGACGGCTCCAAGAGGGTGCCCAGACGAGGGGCCAAAACGGACACTTCGAGCCCTCGGCCCCGAGAGGCTCCCAGGAGGCACCAGGAGGCCCCAAAGACGCCCCCAAGAAGCCCCAAGAGGCCCCGAAGAGGCCCCCAGGAAGCCCCGACAGCCCCCCAAGTGGCCCCGAAGAGGCCCACAAGAGGCCCCCCAAAGGCACCTGAACTGTCCCCCAGAGGCCCTCGATAGCGCTTCAAAAGACCCCAAGAAGCATCCATGAGGACTCTGACCCACGTCAGCGTCGTTGTCGTCGTCGCCGCTGCCGCCGCCATTGTCGTCGTTCCCCTTCAGGGTCGGCGGCACCGGCCGTAAGGTCTTCGCAATGGAGCTTGCGCGAGCGAGTGCAAAAGATAAACATCAGCAGGGAGATCAAGGACGCTGACGCGAGGGGGAGAAGCAAAGACGCCGAATGAACTCATGGGACACCCAGGGAGACCAAATCCGACGATGGAAGACCAGTGCGGCCGAAACCGCTGGCATTGGGTGAAATAGTGCTTGAAGTTGTCGCGGCCACCACAACCGAAGACGCACCTGCCCACAGCGACATCAGTGTGAATTCGCTTAGAAGTGGCCCGCGCCCCCGCAAGCGTTTTCCACATGACTTACACGATGTGAAAGTGAGCTTTGGTCAACACCATGTTGGACGACGCGCAAATTGGGCCCTGAATCTGAACTCGATTAGGCAGAAGGGGGGGCACAGCAGCAACGTCAGCACTCGAAGGAGCAAGAGGGGAGCGAGCTTTCTCAATACCAGCGGCGCCAGCAACTCTCATCATACCCTGAGACCTGAATCCCCGGGCGGCTTCCCTGAGATGGACCACCAGCGGGGGTCCTTGCCAGAAGGCGGGGGAGAGGTCACCTGCGGCAGCGGCAACCAACAAAACATTGCCCTGATAATTGTCAAGCAAGCTTCCCGTGCAGCGGCCTCAAGTCGGGGAAGGTGGCCAGCGCGGCGCGCGTGAAGGAGGGCGCGCAACCAGGTTGCACCGAGGTCAGGGTCGAGCCACCCCAGCTGGCCAGCTCGAACCAGCCAGCGCGCGAGATGCCGCAACAGGAGACGTCAAACAGATGCGAGAGGAGGGCGGGCCCAACCCGGAGGGTGGGGGTCGAGAGACAACCAGGCGAGACATCAGAGGGAACTGGGCAACATCAGAGGAGGCCCTTCGGGAACGACCACGGGGGGGGGGAGGAGGAGGAGGAGGAGGAGGAGGAGGAGGAGGAGGAGGAGGAGGAGGAGGAGGAGGAGGAGGAGGAGGAGGAGGAGGAGGAGGAGGAGGACCCGGAACTGGGCAACATCAGAGGGAACCGAGGCGCACCCGTTATAACGCGAGTGCGCGGTGGCCGCGGCAGGGGCTTGGCTCCGCGAGAGCTCGCCGCGCGCCTCACCCATTGCAGAGGGGGCCCCCTCCGGCTCCGATCGGCATCGGCAGGCCGAAGGGAGCGTCCCAGCCACGTCGCTGCATCCACGGTGCGAACGTCTCGCCATTCGGGAAGGTTCGTGTCCAACCGGCCGCGAGAAGTGCCAGCCAACTCCTCGCCGAAGGCGTCCGGGAGCGGCACTGTGGAGCGCCTCCTCTTTTGCAGGGCGGGCCCAACTACTGTCGTTGACATGTCAAACGCTCCTTTCGAATCCACGCAAACTCCGGTCGCCGTGGACTACAACCCCAACAGCTGCGCGCGCGCCCTCGGAGTGCCGAGCGGCCCCGACACCCGATCCACCTTCCAACGCAGCTCGGCAATCAACGGGCGGGGCGCGACCGCGCCAAGCGCCCCCGAGCCACGGCATCCTCGGACCACCCCACGGGTAATGACGCGCAGCAATCGGTTCTCGCGCGGGGCGTGTCCCGAGATCCCCCGGGCATCCAGCGCTTCGGCCAGCTCAAGACACTGCCCAGAGGCGCGCAGATAATTGGGGTCACGCTCAATCCATAATACGAAGCACTGGTCGAAACGAGTGAAAAGATGTCGAGCGCCATGGCGATGAGCGGGGCCAGGCACCTGGAGCTTTAGAAATTCTCTGAGAAGAGTCGGCACCCAATCTGCAAAAATATCCTGTCTGCGCGCAGGGCGGTAGAGAGCGCGACGCGGGGGCTCCGTCCCTGTAGTGGAACTGCCGATCAGCACCGCGAGACGAGACATCGGAATCTCCGCCGCAGAGGCCGGACATCCTCGAACGCGCTGAGAAACCCTGCCCCTCCCCTCCAGCGTGAGATTGTGACTATGAGTGTTTGTGCATTTGGCCCAACCGTCCTCCGTGAACGTGACGCTTCTTACCGGGCCCCCCCCGAATCATCCCCGCGCAAAACCTTCGAGGGGCGCGCGCCCCAAGATGCCGGAGAGACGGCACTGGGGCAACAACTCCACCGGCGCGACGGCCAGAGATGAGATGAAGGAGGCGGAGTGGGGGCGGGAGAGGCGGGCGTAGTTGGCGACACATGTTGTTAGCAGGCCTGGCAATGGGCACCAACACCAACGCGCGGGGGTCGCCTCCACAGGGGGAAGCTTGATCCTAGATTTCGGTGCTGGCGGGAATATTTGAGAGAGCGTGATCCACCGCCGCTTTACTGTGGAAAATTGCCGCACTTTTCCTCCGGAGCCCGGGGGTCTCCCCCCCCTCCGAAAATCCCCCCCCCTCCTGCTGGAACCCCTCCCACCCCCCCCCTCCCCCGGCAAACCCCCCCCTCTCCCCTACCCCCCCCCCCCCCCCCCCCCCCCCTCGAAAACCGTGGGGGTCATTACCGTTCGAACCCCCCCCCCCTCGAAAACTAGGTTCACTACCCGGTTCGAACCCCTCCCCACCCCCTCCCACACTCACCGCCAGCAAACCACTCCCGGTCCCTACCACCGTCCGCACCACATCCCCCACTGTTGTTCCCAGCACCACTGTCCTCACCACCACTGTTCCCACTGGCTCCACCACCGTCCCTACTCTCCCCACCAGTGCCCCCCACCTCTGTCGCACTGTCCCCACTGTCCCCACCACTGTTCCTACGGCCCCAACCACTGCCCGACTATCCCCACTGTCCCCACTGTCCCACTGACTCCTCCGCTGTCCCACTGAGCTGTCCCATTGTTCCCACCGCTGTCCCCACTGTCCGCACCACTGTCCCCACTGTACCTCTGTCTCATTGTCCCACCGCCGTCCTCGCCACCGCCTTCACCACTGTCTCCACCACTGTACCCTCCACTGTCCCACTGTTTCCACCTCATTCCCACTGTCCCCACACCACTGTCCCCACCACCACCGTCCCCACCACTGTCCACTGCTCCTACTGTTCCCACCATTGTCCTCACCACTGTCCCCACCACTACCGTCCCCACCACTGTCCCACTGTCCCCACCACTGTCCCGCTGTCCCCTCACCACTGTCCCCATCACCACCGTCCCCACCACTGTCCGCACCCCCCCCTCGGTTTTCGAGGGGGGGGGGGGGGGGGGTTCGAACCGGTAGTGACCCCCCACGGTTTTCGAGGGGGAGGGGGGGGGCGGGGTTCGAACCGGTAGTGGACCCCCGTTTTTCGAGGGGGAGGGGGGGAGAAAGAACTAAAAAAAGAAAAAAAATACAAATAAAGAAAAAAAAAAAAGAAGAAAAAAAATGAAAAAAGATTAAAAAAATAACAGAAGAGAAAACAAGAAAAAGGAAAAAGAAAAGAAAAAAAAAAAGAAAGAGAAAAAAAGATAAGAGGAAAAAAAAAAAATGATAAAAAACTGCAAATAAAGAAAAATAAGGGGGGGGGGGGGGGGCGGGTTCGACCCGCGGTATGACCCCCCCCCCCCCCCCTTTTCATGATTTGACGGGGGGGGGCGGGAGGGGCAAAAAGAAGCAGGAAAAGGGGGAGGGGGAAAAGGGAAAGGGGAAAGGGGAAAGAAAGGGTTCGAACCGGTAGTGACCCCCCCACTTCGCGGTGTTTTCCTTTTCCCGGCCGCGGGGGGGGGAGGGGTTCGAACCGGTAATGACCCCCCCCGGTTTTCCGCCAGAACACGCTCTTTCTAATATTTCGGCCACTTTGGGAGCCAGAATTGCAACCACCATCGCCGGGATCGGGATGCTTTTCCCTCGGTGGGAGCACGCCGCCGATATTGGTGTTGGCGTCAATCCCCTAGGCCTGCGAATATTCAAGCTCTGTTTGGGAACCGTGGCGCCGCTGAAGGGCAGCCATACTCCCAGGGGTGATGTACCTCTTGAAGTACCGGCCCTCAGGGACCGAATGATAGGACTGTCGTTGAATGGGGGAACGAGAACTCCCGGAAAAGAAGGAAAAGGCCCACGTCTGCTCACTCTGGGGGCCCAGCCAGGCCCGCATGGTCGTGTCAAACACGCTGCTCGGCTCCACCTGTGACGATGAAGCAAATGTGGAGGCGGTCGCGCAGCACGTCCTCATCGATGCCGAGCCCATTGAGATGCAACACAGTGATTGACAAGAGGCGGCGAGTCACCAGGCTGCGACTGCACTTTAACCAGAGGCTTCCAAACCGAAGAGACTTCACCTTTCTTTTTGTCCGAGAAATGCTTGGTCTGAGTTGGCATCTACTGGATTTCTTTGCGAACCAATTTGAGGGCCGGCCCTCGTTCGATGGTACACGTGTTCGTGCCGCCCGAAATGTAGATCGCATGTGGATCGTTCTTCGTCTCTTTCACCGAGAAAACGTTCCCACGAGCCATCAACCTTCCGAAGAACCCCCAACGCCTGACCGACGCGACGAGCACCGGAAGAGCGATCACAGCGATCACCTAACATTTGAAGAATGAATCAACGACCATCTGGCTCCCGTTGAAACTCGTAGTCGTCCACCTCGAGGTTGTTTCTATGAAGCCATCCCCTGAAGCTGTCCAGGATATGTATCGGCCCGCGGCATGAGCCCCTCGGACCTGATGATGATGATCGGGTTGTCCGCATTCCTGTCGGTCTTGTGGTCCACTTCTTGTGGCGTCGGTTTGCTAGCTTCATCCTCTCCCAAGCATACCAGGAAGTGTTCCCCTGGCGTCTCAAGCTTGATGATCCTCCCGTCGTGAGACACGATCCCCTGCTCAGCTTGGCCATCTTCTCCTCGAAACACCTCTGGAGCGACTCGTAAGGTTCCTAACCGTGTCCGCAAGTTTCTGAGAGGTCGCGACCATGTGTTTGGCCTGCTGCTGCACCGTGCCGATGGCCGCCAGCAGCTCGCCTTTGGTCTCGTCCACGTAGTCACGGAACGATTCCAGAGACAATCCACCTTCTCGCCTTCGCGCTCGGCGACGCCCACTTCCAGCTGCATCTGCACAAAAACCGTCAGCACCTGACGAAACACGAGCACCGTTACCGGAGGAGTATCACCCCACGACCTCTCCCCAGACCCCCATCGCCAGGCACTTTGTTTCATCACAAACAAATTAAGAGAGTACACCCTGCGAAATGCTTTAGAAATCATGGGTTAAGAAATTCATAGTCTCAGAATTTGAATAAAAACCCAGAATGTCTATTCAAATCTTGGGATTTACATTGAAACATTAAGAAAATTCGAGACTCTGGCCGAAAACTTGGGTTTTCTTAAGCATCGCCTAGAGTGTAAGTACAGTGTGCGGATGCTGTGGAGACGCAGGTCTGCTATCGGAAAGGAGGCGGCGACCCTCGCTGTTGGAGAGACATGACGGTTGTCGCAGGCGGCGGGCACCGCGGCACGAAGCCCCGCGACACGGGCTTCGAGCCTAGAGCCAAAATGGCTACGGATCCTCCTCCTCCTCCTCCTCCTCCTCCTCCTCCTCCTCCTCCTCCTCCTCCTCCTCCTCCTCCTCCTCCTCCCCCCATCAGACCACGGACAATGGTCCAAAGGCCGCGTATTGCCTTACATAACGTTCTCCCTCTCGTCCTCCCTACGTCTTCCTCATTACGTCCTCCTCCTCCTCCTCCTCCTCCTGCTCCTCCCCCTCCTTCATCATCCGCCTACCCCCTCTCCTCCTCATCCTCCACCTTCTACTCCTCCTTCCTCCTACCCCCTACCTCCTCCCCCTCCTCCTGGGAGGTGTGGGGGACCAGCTGAGAACGTGCACCCTCGAGCGGCAATAGTGCACAGTGCCGATGGCGCCTGCCTCCTCACCGGTCTCTCCCTCGTTCCTGCGTCCCTCCTCGGTTCGCTTTCCCCCTCGATCCCCCCTTTCGGTGGCATCGACCGCCTGCTGCGGGGCCACGCTGGCACATCGAACACACACACACACACACACACGCAACGAAGCCGCGCATCGCATCATCAAACAACAATCTCCCCATTCTCCAATTCCTCCTCCTCCGTGTCACCCGTGAGCCCCTCCCCCTCCACCTCCACCCCTCCCCCTCGCTTCCGCTTTTGCTTCCCCCCCCTCCTCTCCCCACTCTGTCCCCTTCACCCCAGGGCCCAGCCCCCGATCGGCCCTGAGCTCCCAACACACCTCGGCTTTGAGCCGCTCGAAAGCTGGGCCACGCGTGCTGGTCCTCTGGTCCGCGGTGAACTTTGCCGCGTCCAATGCCGTGCTCGACGTGTTGGTGGCGGTCACGGGGGCCATGGTCGTGGTCTGCAGCAGCTCGCTCCACCTCCCCTGCTCCCGACCCCTCTGAGGGGCAACGTTGGGCAGGACCAGCTCAGGAGGGGGGTGGGGAGGGGGCAAGCATCGATCTGAAATTGGCGATGAATCGCCAATAGACTGGCGATAGGCCCCCGATGTCGAATCCGCACGGACCTCAGGGGGGTGGATGCATGGGCGGTTGGGGATCGATGCTCCCCCCTGAACCGACCCCCCCCCCGCAACGTTGCCCCTGACTTTCACGCGACGCCGCGACCGGCGACCGGCGGCGACTCGATCCGACCAGCCTCCGCTTTCGCGCCCGTGCGCCCAACGTCAATGCTGACGTCTTCGGTGGCAATTCATGGAAGCCTCCCATGCCATCTTGCTGGCTCCGGCGAATCGACGCGATCTTCCGCGAATCGACGCTAAATCGGCGCTAAGTCGACGCTAATCGACACTACATCGACGCGACGCTAAATCGGCGTTGTCTCATCGACTGCCAGACGCTAGCGCGCTAGCGCACGCTTCCGCACTCTTCGAAACTCCGACGACTTGCTACCGAAGACGTCGGCCCTGCCCACTACACTCCGCCACGAGGGGCGTGCTCTCTTGCAAGCTGCTCGGCGATTTCCCATGTTGTGCAACTTCTTACGCATGCTGTTTGCTCACCAGCACCGATTGTATATACACACGCACACACCGCTTGTACATGCCATGTGATGCCGCATTGCCCGCTGATCCCCGCCTCTCTCCTCTTCCAGCCCCACGCGATGTAGAAAGAGATTCGGTTGGCGTGCCGCTGCTCCCGCAAGGCGGAGGTGAAAGGCCTGCATCGTCTCTTTTCGCACACGCGTTCCTCCGTATGGCTTGACTGACTGACCAGTAGATTGCTTTTTCTACAGAACCTCTGCCGCATCGCGTAAACCTCATCCAAGGAACCACGCCCGTGGCCTGCGCCAGTCTCGCCTCGCTTCGGCACGCCCCGTCATGCCAACCGTGGCCCATGGGGGAGCTCAAACCAACGCCAACAAAACGGGAACCCGCATGCCGCCCCCTGTCGCAGGTCGGCATACCCCTCACGCGGACCGTGGCCCATGGGGAACGCTGGGGAACTCCAACTTTCCCCCTCCCGTTGCGCGCAATGTACGACGGGAGGGCCACCCCCTTACAATGCACGCAGCTGCGCAGGGTTGGAACCTTCGCTGGGCAAATTCCAGAGACGGCAAATCAACCACGACAACATCCACGCGCCACGAATGGTTCGTTTTTTCCCTCTCGGCCGAATGCTGGCCGCACGGGCCGTTGAGAAACAGCGGCGCGGAGGTGGACGGGGCCCAAGAGGGGAACCGAGAACTGAAAAATCGAGCCCTCCGCCCCAGAAGGCGCCCAGGAGGCCCCCCAAGAGGCCCCCAAGAGGCCCCCAAGACGCCCCAAGAGGCGCCCAAGAGGCCCAAAAGAGGCCCCAAGAGGCCCCAAAACGGCCCCCAAGAGGCCCCAAAACTCGGCTAGCCCACAACGGTGCGACAAGTATGGACCGGCGGAATGAGCGAAGCGATTAAATAAATGCCCGAGCCACGGGACAGTCGTGGGGCAACAGCGCAGCGAAACACGGGGCAGCCGTGGAGGGCAACCTGGGCAGCACCTCGGCCACCTCACTGTTCTCAAGCATAGAACTGCATAGTTTGACACCCATGTTCCAAGACATGCCTGTGCGGACGGTAACTAGGAAGGCACCAACTATACACCAACACCGATCCTGGCCAGGATCACCCTGGGCCCAGGATCGGTGTATACGCCCTCCTGCCTTGCGCAAGAAGGCATATACACCGATCCTGGGCCCAGGGTGATCCTGGGCCAGGATCGGTGTTGGTGTATAGTTGGTGCCCTCCGAGTAACGCAAAGATGTGGAGCAAGATGGCTATGGAAAAGAACTGTTTTTTCTCCTGCCAACACCTGGAATAGAGCACCGCACGTGCCGCCGATGCTGGCAGATAAGGCGGCGCAGCCTTGAGCCGAGACGGCAGCGGAACCGGGCAACCTTATTTCCCGCCCGGGACAGACCCTTAAAATCGAGAGGGGGGACGAAGCCTGACCGCTGCTGCCTCTATTGTTGGCTCAGGGCGGCCGCAGAATGCCAGGTAGCCGCCCAGCGCGGCGATCTCAGCTGACGGGCAGATTTTGTATAAAAAACTGGATCATGTCTCCGTGGCCCAGCGAACTTGGCGCCTAACTGTAACAGAGCGAGAGAAAACGGTGCAAATACAGCTAATGCATGGCCAGCCAGTCAGCAGCCCAGAAAGTTCTGAAAGATGCCGATCGGACTGATCCCGCATCGGGCAGACAGATCGTCAATTTTTCGCGCGCCCACGAAACTAGAGCCACGCAGGGAAAACAATCCGTGACACAAGGCTGGCTGACAGAGCGGGGCCACGCGCTCGCTTCCCGGCAATCGCGTATCCACGACAAAAGACATGAATGAATAGCGCGGGCGCGGGTTTACCCTGAGCCGTCTCCGTTCTATGGGGGGGGGCGGAAGGAGGGCCACCCCTCTCATGCGAATGGCGGCCGCGGCTGAGCAATCCCCCAGACCACAGGGGTCCAACAAGGCGTTTGAACAGCAGCGGCGTCACGCATCGGCACTGGGGGCATTGCCCCGGCATGGGGCATGCGATGTGACCTCGCGCGTGTAACTTTGGCGCACGTCCATAACGTGTAGAAGTAGATCGCGATCGGTAGAGCCTTCGACGTGCCCATCCACTGTCATTTCTCGGGTGCCACACTCTTGCGCGCCATCTAAATTGCCGAGCTCCAGAAACGCTCGGAGCAAATTGCCGTGGCCCGGCAGTGTGTCCAGGCCCTTGCTCGCGAGAGACTTGATCTCGGAGGTCGGCATCCGCCGCGAGGGGTGCTTTGATGCGAAATCCACACCGCTCACGGAGTTGCACGAGCGCAGAAAAGAAGGCAGCTGGCCCTGGAAAAGCCCACGCGGCGCCAATGACGCAGGGTCGGGCTCGTCAGCGCCGCGCGCTGCAGCGAGAGCTTCGCCAGCGCAACTACATCGAAATAGGAGCCGATGAAACATGCACTAACCTTCGATCGAATGGATGATATGTTGTCTGCCGCTCGTAATTCCACGGCGCAGAAGGTTGCGCCCTCGGAGTCCACTTCGTCTCGTCCTTCTCCTCTCCAATGAGATGTATGTTGCCCGCGTCGCTATGTGGATATACCATGCCATTGCGCGCTATTGCGCGGTGAGTGATCTTCTTTGGGTAGTGTAGCACTTTGCAACTATGGGCATTGCATCGTCTTGCCTGGAAGCTCGCTGGTTCTTGCATGCGTCACAGCGACGCAATGCATGCCGCGATCCAGAACTGGGCCAAGGCGGAGCAGGCGAGGGGCCCTTGCAGACTGGCGAACATATCGTCGACAGTCTTTCTGGGCGGGGGTAACTGAGAATGCTCGGACAAGGTAGGGGTGCGCGATAGGACGCAGATGTTTGACGTAGTCGTCTTGGTCCACGGTCGCGTCGCCTCTCTCCGTCTTGGTGTGCCTGACTGCGCAGCTTGCGTGGGCATGCTTACTGACTTTGCACGTGCCAGACTCTGGTTCTACCATGCGCACGCAAGAGTCGATGCGCGTATCCTTCCTGCGCGCGTTGATGTCGCCCACGTGTTTGGTAGCTGATCTGGTGCAGCTTCGAAGTATGGGCCATATGGCATCGGTTCGAACAAAGGCACTCTCGGTGGTTGTTATGAGCTTCAAGGAGAAGGCTCGAAGAGCGCCCTTGGTGCCAGCACCTGGCTTTAGACGCCTGAGGCAATGGCGGGGCTCAGCGTAGACTCCAAACCCTGGTAACGCACGCAGGACCGAAGAGCTCCAGGAAGGTTGCGTCAACCATGCAGTGCGTTCCTGTTCCCAGCCGGCTTCAGCCAGCCCCTTTCACGGTTAAGCCTTCGAGGAACGCCTTATCCACATCCAAGCTTGCCAGAGTCCGATCTCCATGGCAAGCTGCCTCGGTGGCGGTTAACCTTTGCGGGGTGCGCTTGACCGTTCCTGATGATGCATCCACTGCGATGGCCTCCCAGTCCATGGGCCCCCCTCAGCACATAAAGAAACATGGCGATATTCTCAGTCTGACAGCTGTTATTCTACAGTGAGTTTCCAGTTGTAGGCGCTCGGTGACATCATCCCGTCTTGGGGCTTAGATCGAAAATGGGGCATGCGTTCCCTTGCCGCATTTAAATTCCGCTAAAAGAGTATGCGGCACTTGCTTTGGATGGCTCGGGCTATCTTGTTTCGCTATCACGTCATCCTCCTCCACGGCATATTGCTGTTCACGCGTGCAGTTGCTAGTCCATCGGCGCGCAAGGCGTTCAGTTGTGGTTCGTCCAATACCACAAAAGCCATGTCTCTTGTGTAAAATAGCTCGGCGTACTTCCCATGGGCATCGGTGTCGAGGTCGCAGTCTTCGTCCGTGGCTTCGCCCGCAAGTGCAGAGCGGGCCACGTTGCAATCGCCCGATCGTCGGCGAGAGAAGAGCACGTCGCGTTGGATGCATCCACCGAGGTGTGCATTATCTTCTTGAAACATGCAGCTCGCATGTTCACATGATACCAAGGCAGCGTTGACCGGCATGAAGGGGGGCTGAGGCAGCAGAGAGAAGCTGAACCTGTTCAACCGAAGTATACGCTTCATTATTGGTAGTCAAGATTGGCCAATTCCCGTTACCAATCGTGCATCAGCATCGCGTCCTCTTCCTGCTCGCCATCTCCTTCATCGATAATGGAAAGCATGCCGGCACCCCTTTCGGATCCCAATGGCGTCTCAAGGAGATTCGCGTTTTCGCGTTCGTCGTTCTCCCGAGAGCCGTCGGCCATGTCAGGGAATCTCGAGAGGTCCTCGTCGAACAAGTGCGCTGGTCTAAAAGAGGTGGGGCGCTCTATCAATCGAGCAGGCTTGCTGCCGGCGATGTCAAGTATATTGAGAGAAGTGTCAGCTGACCCATGGAAGTGAAAGCCCGGCTCGACGCCGCTGTCGCAGCAGATCGATTTGAGGCGGTCAGCACCACGAAAAGACGGCAATGCGCGAACCCTTCAGCCATCCTGACAGCAATGACATTGTCGATCCGACTGTGCATTCTAACAGTGCGCTGCAATGCCACCTGTACGTCGGGAGCCAACTTACCCCCCACGGATAGACGGCACACCTTCCAATGGTCTGGAACGTAGCCGAACGCAGTGCCGTTTATCAGTGGGAGGCGCGGCCATGTAATACTTGACGGTGCTCATGTACATGTTGTCCATGCCGAACTCCCGCACCATGAATGCCTCAATGCAAATGGGAAGCCTCGCATCGGGGACCTGGGCCAAAGTGTCTCTGTTTTCAAAATTGGGCACCAGTAGCCCCCATTTCTCATCGACTTCAGTTACCTTGCAGTGGCCATTCCAGCCGCCATGGTCATCCTTGGTTGTAGTAAGTCGGTGATAGTTAATCAGGTCCATTCGGCCTCCGTCCTCTTTAGCCTTCGCTTGGAGAGCATAATTCACCTTGACCGCATGCGCGGCATGGATGATGGCTTCCAGGGCACCATCCTGGATGCACCACTCTCTCGCCTGACCGCTCGCTTAGGGGGTCTCGGGGCCTGGCCCCCCAAAATCGGGCAGCATGGCTGGCATCTTCTGCTTCGGCCACCTTCTTGGGCTTTGGCTGCAGTCGCTTCCTGCCTTCCTGCGTCGCGATGTCCAAGGCTTGTCTTCGTGGCGTCAAGGCAAACGCTGCCTTGTTGCCCGCTTCGGCTTGGGCCTCGCATGGCGCGCGGGCGCTGTCATTGTCGGGGCCGTCTGCCGCTGCCTCATGGGCAAGCGGGCCCCCGACTCTCAGCTGCTCCGGTCCAGAGGTACCGGCGCCGGCGCCTGCTTCAGTAGCGCCCCCTCCCAGGGGCGCGCGTGTCTGCTCCGCCCTCTGCGCGACGTCGCTGAGTGACGCGGCCTTGGGCATGGCGATCTTCTTGAAACCTTCTCGGCTCGATGCCCGAGATGACGCGGGAGTAGCTGGCGGCCCCCCCGCGGCGTCTTCGCTGCCGTCGCAGCTCTGGCAGGGGCCTCGGCCTTAGCGAGAGCAGGTGCTGAAAGTCCGGGTACGTCAGAGGCTCGTGATCCCTCGCGTGTCCGCGCAGCATCAGAAACCCCTGCAATGCGATTCACCGCGGCAGCTTCATTGGATTCCTTCAGGGTCAGCTTCCTGACGCCTACAGGCGCGGGCTTCCGACTGGCGCTGATGCCAGTCTCCCTGGTCTCTTTCGGCTCCATAGGTGGCTGGCTGCGCGATGGGGTCGTTGATCCTCGCGGCGATCGTGAACGGCGAATCCGAGCTCCGGCGGGCGCGCTGGACGTTCTGGAGCCGAGAACTCCAAATTGAAACGGGCAGAATCATGTCCCGCGGCTCGGTTCAGCTCCTCGCCTGCCAGCCACAACGTCTAGGATATAGTGCTATTTTTGGTCGGGTTGGTGTAATGCTTCGATCATGTCAGCACGATGTTCTTCCTATGGTGGACATTGGCATAGGCCTGTTCTCCTGGAAGTGCGCTCTTGAACAAAAAGACGGCGCCCAGCGCGTCAGTGGGACAAGTCTGGACGGCGGGCCGACTCATGCGCCCCGCGCGCGCCCTGGCCTTCTGGCCGCGTAGGTCCAGGGCGCCGGCCTCCGCGTGGTGGACGTGGTGCGCGTTGATCGTCGTCGCAGACCTCACCCGCCACCGCGTCGATCATGAAGAAGGTTGCGTGCTCCCCTGCGTCATCTGCGGAGTCGTCAGGGCGCGCGTGCATCGGCTGGCGCGCGCCAGGCAGGTGCCGGCTTCCTTGGGTCTGGAAGCTGACACACTGGGCACGCGGACTAGTCGCTCTCCTTGTGCGAGGCGATGCATTTGCTTTGCCGAGGGCATATGTCCGAATAGCATCGGTGATAACTTCGCTGAGCCGCATGCATGAAGGGCACGCTGGGTGTCTCGCAGCTTCCACGTCCAAATGTACGAGGTACTCCCTGGTCATATTTGGCAAGCACTGGCCAAGCGGCACCATTTCCCACGGGCGCTGTCGCGGCAGCCAGTTGCCAGGAACTGAGGCTATCTCACGCTCGTTGGCGTAAGGAATATAACGATGATCCCGAAGGTGTGCGGAAGACGCCGTTGGGTCTGGCCCGACCTATTCGTCGTCTACCACCTCGTAATATACACCATGTACGCGTTCATCCTCAAAGGCAGCATGGCGTGCTCGGCTAATGCCTCACACTCGGGGTCGTGTGTTTTGGGCCGCGTTTCCACGAGATGATGATGGCCGTCCTTTCGGAGCTACAGAAATTAAGTACTATGCCCGCGAGCCGGTCGTTGATGGATTATGGCGTGTCCAGTTGGTATCGCTTTATCACGTCATGGAAGACAAGGCGCAGGTGCTCCTCAGCGGCTTCGATGAAGGAGAGGTGCTCCTGGTGGTGAGACCAGGCAGGCCGAGGTACCCAACGGCGCTGGTAAGCAAAGCATTTGAGGCGGCCGTCGATTGCCCTGGCGCGCTTGGACACTCGCGAGCAAGATGGAGAGGTGGACCGCTATCAACTGGCCATCCTTGCCGACGAGATTCTGCCTGCGGCCATTCCCCGTGCCCGGTGGTCACGGCCTATTGCGTGCGACCTTGCCTCGTCCTTCGCCTCGTCCACCGACAGGCACCCCCCCGCGTGCTACGTCGGCGGGGGCAGTGACGTACGTTTGTGTGCCCTTGCCGGCGAGATGTCTCCGCCCCCCTTGGCCTCTGCGTCCTTTTCCTTCGAGGGTGCGATTCATGAGAGCGTCTGGCTCGGCGCGCAGGCATTCGCGCGCGGGGTCGCCACCTGCCGCTGCGGTACCGCGTGGACAAAATAGCTCTGGGGCGCGTGGGACTTCTGGTCGGTCGGCGAGATCGCGAATATACTTCGCATCGTAGATGGAAGAGACTGTGCCCGCGTCCGCGCAACTGTCGCCCTCCTCGGTCGGGTTGCCCCGCGAGGTCGCTGCTGGCGTGGCCGAAGGCCAGAGATGCAACTGGCGTGGATGGCGGGGCCAAGGCGGCAAGTTTCCTTCAGCACCTTGGCCCGCTGGGGTTGGCCAAAGCCCCATTGCTGGTGACCCTTCTAATTCGCCTGGAGGCTGGCCAAGTCGCGCGTTCCCGTCGCGCGCGCGTCGGCCCTGGAGCGTCTGCGCAGAAGTTGGGCAATTTTTCCAGGCGCGGTTCGGGAATGCGTCGCCGCCGACGCAATGCCTCAAGGAGGTCGTCGCGCTGCTGCAGGGTACGCGGCATCATGCCGTTGAGCGGCTGCCGCGGCTACCTCTCCAGGTGGAAGACGGAGGGCCCTCGCGAGGGCGGCGAATAGAAGCTGGAAGTAATCGAGACCGAAGCCCGCGGTGTCGGCCTCCATCCTGGCGGCCCACCATCTGGCGAGGACGCTATCGACGCGCCCATTGGGCTGCACTCGAAAGTCCACGGATTCGAGGCCGCGCTGGGGCTGCATGTTCGTCCTCTAGGCTCTCGAGTCTCCGCGCCCGGTAATAAAGGAGATGCGTCGCTGGGTCGGCGCGGGCTCCGTTGACCTCCGCGCCAAAGTTGACCGCGGCGGGAGGTATCCGCGTCGCCAGTGCACGAGCAAGGCCTTGAAGTCGTCGCTGCAGGGCAGCCGCCTGTTGGGACGGGGCCACCCCGCCCTGAGTGGGCTTCCAGCCAGGCGTGGACTTCACGCATCCACGCGCGCTATGGGGCGGATCCAGCGGGGTCCCGCGCGGGACCTCGCGCTGGTCTCCTTCTCGCTCTCGGCTCACGTCCAACAAAAGCTCAAATAGCCACCGCGAGCATGCCATGCACTACCGTTCCCGAGAGGTGTATCGTTGAGAAATGTAGAAGAGGCCGGGGTGGTTCTGGAAGAAATGATGGTGCCAGCCACGTTGCCACGAGCGGCTGGAGACAGAGGAAGGTTGGCGGGTTGGCGGCCCTGCAGGTCATAGACGCAGGGGTCATTCACGTCGCCGCGAGCGAAAGGAGATGAGGTCGTCGTGCAAGAGGTAGTCGTTGAGGTCGGAGACGTCGCAGTGGCGGTCGAGGGCCGCCATCGCGCGCTCGACCTATATGGAGATGTGGATGTAGATGATGTCGTAGTTGCGGTCGGGGCCTTCATTATGTTGGTCGAGCATCCTCGCGCGCCTGAAATCCAGGTAGAAGAGAAAGGGGGTCGGAGCACTGGTTGTGCTGGTATGAAGGGCCCACATAGCAGTCGAACTCGAACATGTCCGCGTTGCTTTGCTCTAGTCCTGCAGGTGCCCGCCACTGTGCAAGTTCTATGCCGGGGCGGTGGTGGGCAGATCTGCCGCGTTCGCAGCAGCCCCGCTTCCTAGTTTGACACTGATGCTTCAAGACGGGACTGTGTAAACGGTAATGTCGAAAGGTGAAACAGGATGGTGCTGGAGGAAAAATGGCCCTTCCTCCTGCCGACACCTGCCGACGCTGGCAGATCGGGCGGCGCTGCCTTGGGGCGAGGCGGCAGCGGAATCAGGCAAGCTCACGCCCCCCCCCCCCCTCGAGACCGACCCTCAAAGTCGTAAAACCTCTGCGAGCATTCTAAATCATACAACTGGTTAAGCTCATCCGTCTACGTCTCGTCAAACTCGTCATCCACGTTCAACAAATGCAACTAGCATGGCTCTGCTAACTGGCACCCGCCACCGACCTGGTACAAATGAAATCGCGTGTCCTCAGGTCCTTCCGATTTCTCTGTTCTTTCCCCACGCCCACCCAAATGTTGCTGATTGCTGGGCGCTTCCTGACGGCGTGGTGCATATTTCTGTCCGCTGACGCCTCGGGAACTTCCCATGTGCCCTGAGATGGCCCCGCGGTGCTGTCCTGGACTTTCTGCAGTCGTTTTGGGCTCCCTGGGGGCGGGTCCAAAAAGCCCAAAGCACACGACAAACTCGAGATCGCCCTGGGACAAGAGGCGCCCAAGAGGCCCCCAGAAGCCCAAGGGGCCCCCCAAAAGGCCCACGGGAAGCCCCGGAGAGCCCACGAAGAGGGCAAGAGAGACACCGCGGTGGCGGCATGGGCCACGGGCCAATCAATGATCTTTCTCAGCTTTCGAGCTCGCCCAGCTACCCAAACGACCTGAGGTCCGTCGGCTCTGAAAGACGCATCGAGCGCCGCGGCCTTCACGTAGCGTTCAAGAACGCGCTGGGAACTTTCTGGATCGCTCTGGAACGATTCACCCCGATCCTCGAGCCCGACTAAAGCCCCCCCCAGAGCCCGAGAAAGGCGAGAAATGACTCCCCGCCGCGCGGCCTTTCCCGAGACGTTCGAGGCCTGAGGTGCGCGCGCGCGAGGTCGCGCCCCACGCAGCCAGCAGACGACCGGGCCTCTCTCGCCGCGGACCGCGCGCCCGATGGCACTGGGTTCTGCATCGGAAGCGCTGTTTCAGGTCGGGCATGTCCTCCTACAAGCGGATCTTAGGAGAACCATGCAGGATAGCTAAAACACATTCGAAAGTAACCAACATAGTGAAAACATCGTCCTCATCCTACTCCTAGTGCGCGCCTCTGTTTTAGCGCTGCGCTTTGGCGCTGTCTTGCGCGCTACCTGCCTTTGCCTGCGCATCCAAAGACATGCAAGCGATGGCGCGTGAGCTCGCGAAGGGGCCCCTCTTCCAGCAACCGCCTGGGCCAGCCCCTGGCCCAAGCGACGCCCGGCCCCCGGGCGCCGCGCAACCTCCCAAGCCCCCATTCCAGGGGAGCGCGCCCCGCACCCCCCCCCCAGACAACGCCGGGCCATGTGCTTCCAAGGAGCCTTCGCTACCCCTGGCTCGCACGAGCGAGCCTAGACAAGCGCGGGCCTGCCTGCAGGCAGCGCGCCACGGATCCGCCCCACAGGGGGCGACGAACCCTCGTCCAGAGGGCACGGGAGGGCGGGCGGGCAATCGAGGGCAACCCTATGGTCAGCCACGCCGCCCGGCTCTCGACGCCAAGCCCCCTTGGGCCGGCCGCGAGGCACGGGGCCCCAGGAGGCGAGGGCCCCGCGACTCTGCCCCCTAGGAGGGAGGAGGCCCCCCCCTCCCCGACAGCACCCTCGTGCTGCCAACCGCCACCTTCCCCAGCAAACCCGCGGCGACTCGGCCCCCGAGCCCCAAGAGCGTGCGAGCCGATTCACCGAGTGCCCATTCGGCTTGCTGGGCCAAGGCTCCGTCGATATAGATCCGTGCTGTTTTTTTCGTGGGCCCATCGGCCGCGCACCATTGCGCGCCCCGGACTGCCTTCAGAGAGGAAATGCCATGTGGCACCGCCCCAGCGTAAACTGTATCCAGACACGCCCCGTGACCGGATGCCAGCGGCTGTCCCCAGCTCCCGGAGCTTCTCGTTGAAGGCGTGAGGGCGCATCGGCGGCAGCAGGTCGTCGTCGCTCATATGTTGGCGCGCTTTGGCCAAAGCGCGGACGACGAAGGCGTCGTGAACCATTACCTTCTCGAACTTAGCTTCGCGGGGGCCCGATTCAGTTTCAGGTGAGATGTTGATGGTTTTTGGGCCGCTCTCGTAAAACATGACCTGGCGTGGGCGGAGGCACAATTTCGCCTGTGCGAAGCAGCCCGACAAAGCCCACTAGGAGAGCTGCGCCGAAATTCCACGCGCCCTCCGCGAACGCCATCCCGGGATCATCCCCGCGAGGCCCTTGACGATGAGCGGCGTGAATGGTGAAGCTCTGCTCCGGCTGACTGTCCAGCGCCAGCTGTTGAGGAAGAAGCCTGTCACGACGAGCGCTTTCCGGGCTCTGGGGACCAAGCGTTTCAAGCCCGAGGCGAAATCAATGGCCCAGCCCTCTGGCTCCCCTTCGGCCCACAGGCGGTCGATGAACTCGCTGGCCCTTATGTCCAGCTCCTCGAGGTTGCGCGGAACCGCGTGCCCTCGCAGCTCCAACTATTCAGAAAGAAACGAATGCGAATTCGATAGCGTCGAAGTTTTCTCTCTTTGACCCCAGCTTCCCTGAGCGTCCCCCTCCGTCGCACGGCACGGTGCCGCATGAAGAACTTACTACTGTTGCTCTTGAGGGGTCCGCGCCGGCCACCAGCGGCTCGCGCGTTCGGCGAAACTCCACGATGATATCGTCCACGCGACGTAGGGGTAGGCATCCGCGGCAAGCAGCATTCCTGCCAACTGACGAAGCCGAAAATTGAGAAGTTTAGAAGAGGACCGCCCTTTGGCGATGACTGCTGACGCTACCACGCTGTCCACTACATGCACAAACCGGGTCGACTGAAGCGCACCGCTCCCAGACGATTGCCGGACAAAAATGACGCTCCAAACCCATTTGAAAGCAGGGAATGGGGCTGCTTGCCGCGACTGCCGTGAAAACTCGCCGGCCCAAAGCTGCACGTCGGAGCCCCGGTGATCGACGTACCGTATGAAATTGCGCAAGTGCTCCGCTTCGCGCCCGGGAAGCATGCCGCTGACCCAACGCATGAGCTCCTGCACGACCTCGGTCTGGACCTCCTCTTCCTGCGCCTCCTCTCCGCCATCTGTACCGCGGCTAGCTGTCCCTCTCTCCTCGTGTGGGGAACGTGCCCGCGCTGCTCCCCGACGGTCTCCGCTCACAGCAGGCCCAAACGGGTCCTGGCGTCCTCGTTGCGACTGCCTGTCGCCCCTGCTGCCTCGCTCCTCCTCTGCCTGGCGACCCCGGGGAATCGGGGAGCGGGAGCGTTCGCGCCACCCGCGACCCTGCCTGGACTCCCTGTCAGCCACCCTGCCCTTCGGCTCCCGCAAATCCGCCGCGAGGTCACCTGCCTGTCCCTCGCCCGGCTCGAACAACTCCTCCCCCCGCCGAGCTCGGGCTGGCTTTCCGCTTTCCGCTGGCGGCGGAAAGCCCGCTGGCGAAGGTGAGCGCGGTGGCGGAGCCCCTCCGCCACGCGCATCAGCCTTGAGGATCTTCTCGACGGCCTTCGCGGCGGGCCCCTTGATCCACTTGAGGCCGCATTTCCCCAAGTCCGCGCTCGAGGGCTCCCTGAACGTCTCGATGTGGGCGGTGACGTCGGTCACCCGGCGTCGCGCCTGGCGACCGCAGCAGAAGTGGTACTGGCCCACCGTCTCCTGCCCAGCCGCCCAATGGGCGTAATAGTCGTCGCTCGCGGCCATGTGCCGCGCCTGTATCGTGTCGCCGACCTTCTCATCGCCCTCCAGGCGCAGCATGACCGTGCCCTGGTCGCCTCCGTCGTCGTCGTAGCACCGGACCTCTACGATGCTGCCCGCCTTCAGGCGCATCGCCGTGGCGTACTCCGGGTCCGACGACGCCGAGATCCATGACCCTGGCATGGCGGGCGACGCGGGCGCAAAGCTGGCACCTTGCTTAAAGCTCAACTCGGTGCTTGGGCCAAGACGCCTACTGAGGCTCCCGCTCACGCTGGCCTGCACTACCCTCGGTCCGCTCTGACGGGCCCGCCCCACGGGTCCCCCCCGTAGAGCGTGCCTCATATCATGACCATTTTCCCCGGAAAGGGCATCGGCCCAGGGTTCTCTTTTAGTAGGTAAACCTGTCCCCCGGTGCCAACTTGAGGGAGGCCGGCGAATTTTTTCCCTGATAAATAACGAGGTCGAAGGAGGCCGGCGAATTAAAATCTGAGGATGTCTCGAGCGAAACGCTTGTTTTTGAAATCCCGATCGATAAATCACAGGGTGCGGGGCACTTTTTCGCGCGTTGAGGATGTCTCGAGCGAAACGCTTGCTCCGCAGAGTTTGCCGAGGATGTCTCGAGCGAAACGCTTGTTTTGCAGAGCCGACCGCGACGCGGAAAAGCGCCCCGCGCGAAGGAATTTCGATGATGTCTCGACTAATTCGTTTGTTTTTGTACGATTTCCTGGAATTTTGGCAGGATGTCTCGAGCGAAATGCACGACCCCACCCTAGCACGACCATACCCCAGCACGACCACACCCCAGCACGACCAGACCCCAGCACGACCCCACCCCAGCACGACCCCACCCCAGCACGACCATACCCCAGCACGACCACACCCCAGCACGACCCGACCCCAGCACGACCCTACCCCAGCAAGACCACACCCCAGCACGACCACACCCCAGCACGACCTCACCACAGCACGACCACACCCCAGCACGACCACGCCCCAGCACGACCACGCCCCAGCACGACCACGCCCCAGCACGACCACCCCCCAGCACGACCACCCCCCCAGCACGACCACCCCCCACACGACCACCCCCCAGCACGACCACACCCCAGCACGACCACCCCCAGCACGACCACACCCCAGCACGACCACACCCCAGCACGACCACACCCCAGCACGACCACACCCCAGCACGACCACACCCCAGCACGACCCGATCGATAAATCACAGGGTGCGGAGCACCCCAGCACGACCCACCCACCCAGCACGACCACCCCCCACCACAGCACGACCACACCCCAGCACGAGCACGACCACGCCCCAGCACGACACGCCCCAGCACGACCACCCCAGCACGACCACAGCACGACCAGCACGACCACTCCCCAGCACGACCACACCCCAGCACGACCACACCCCAGCACGACCACACCCCAGCACGACCACACCCCAGCACGACCCGATCGATAAATCACAGGGTGCGGAGCACCCCAGCACGAACCCACCCCAGCACGACCCCACCCCAGCACGACCCCACCCCAGCACGACCACGCCCCAGCATGACCACACCCCAGCACGACCACACCCCAGCACGACCACTCCCCAGCACGACCCCACCCCAGCACGACCCCACCCTAGCACGACCACACCCCAGCACGACCACACCCCAGCACGACCCCACCCCAGCACGATCACACCCCAGCACGACCCCACCCCAGCAAGACCACACCCCAGCACGACCGCACCCCAGCACGACCTTACCACAGCACGACCACACCCCAGCACGACCACGCCCCAGCACGACCACGCCCCAGCACGACCACGCCCCAGCACGACCACGCCCCAGCACGACCACGCCCCAGCACGACCACCCCCCAGCACGACCACCCCCCCAGCACGACCACACGACCACCAGCACGACCACCCCCCAGCCACGACCACACCCCAGCACGACCACTCCCCAGCACGACCACACCGCCTTGGTTGAGTGGTTGCCTGTCGTCGTGGAATGTTTCGTGGGGTGTCTCGTGGAATGTTTCGCGGGGTGTCTCGTGAAATGTTTCGTGAGGTGTCTCGTGAATGTTTCGTGAGGTGTCTCGTGGGCTGTTTCGTGAGGTGTCTCGTGGGATGTTTCGTGAGGTGTTGCCCAGTTGGGTATCATGAAAACGTGTCCATGCTCCACATGTCTATATCCCTTTCCGGGTTCGTGGGTCCATCATGTTTTATATTCCTCCTGTAGGAGGACAGGCCCGACTGAAGCGATCTTTTTCCCGGAAAGGGCATGGGCCCAGGGTTCTCTTTTAGTGGGTAAACCTGTCCCCCGGTGCCAACTTGAAGGAGGCCGGCGAATTTTTTCCCTGATAAATAACGAGGTCGAAGGAGGCCGGCGAATTAAAATTTGAGGATGTCTCGAGCGAAACGCTTGTTTTTCAGAATTTCTTGAGGATGTCTCGAGCGAAACGCTGGTTTTGCAGAGTTGAGGATGTCTCGAGCGAAACGCTTGTTTTCAGAATTTGCCGAGGATGTCTCGAGCGAAACGCTTGTTTTGCAGAGCCGACCGCGACGCGGAAAAGCGCCCCGCGCGAAGGAATTTCGATGATGTCTCGACTAATTCCTTTGTTTTTGTACGATTTCCTGGAATTTTGGCAGGATGTCTCGAGCGAAATGCACGACCCCACCCTAGCACGACCATACCCCAGCACGACCACACCCCAGCACGACCAGACCCCAGCACGACCCCACCCCAGCACGACCCCACCCCAGCACGACCATACCCCAGCACGACCACACCCCAGCACGACCCGACCCCAGCACGACCCTACCCCAGCAAGACCACACCCCAGCACGACCACACCCCAGCACGACCTCACCACAGCACGACCACACCCCAGCACGACCACGCCCCAGCACGACCACGCCCCAGCACGACCACGCCCCAGCACGACCACCCCCCAGCACGACCACCCCCCCAGCACCCCAGCACGACCACACCCCAGCACGACCACTCCCCAGCACGACCACACCCCAGCACGACCACACCCCAGCACGACCACACCCAGTCGCACCCCCGTGGAATGTTTCGTGGCGTGTCTGGTTGAGTGGTTGCCTGTTCGTGGGGTGTCTCGTGGAATGTTTCACGGGGTGTCTCGTGGAATGTTTCGTGAGGTGTCTCGTGGAATGTTTCGTGAGGTGTCTCGTGGGATGTTTCGCGGGGTGTCTCGTGGGATGTTTCGTGAGATGTCGCCCAGTTGGGTATCGTGAAAACGTGACCATGCTGCACATGTCTTTATCCCTTTCCGGGTTCGTGGGTCCATCATGTTTTTGCGAAGTTCGGCAGCCTGGATCCAACAGGCCGGCGCCGCATCCAAGTTGAAAGCGGCGCCTTGCCTGACACGGTTGGCAGGCCGCTGCTGCCGCTGAAAACTGAAAGTACCTGGGCCAAGAAAGCTGGCCGGGTCTGGCAGATACGCCGACCTGCCTGCCTGGCATGTGGGGATGGTCGCTCTGCTGATCGCGCATAGTTGCAAATTCGGAACAGCCAGGCCTCTGAAAGAGGCAGGCCGCAAATTCGACGAGCGAGCCTCTGGGCTAGAGACTGCAAGGAGTGGGACGAAGAAAAGACGACGACGTGTATGCTAAGCAGGTCGCCCCACTTCGCTTGACGAAGGTGGCGAAAAAGAACACATGAGACAAGCACATCGCCGCCAGTACGCTCATCATCCCAAACACACCGTACCATCGAGTCTTCCAACCTCAGCGCTACGCCCAACTCCATCCGGCCCGGCACTCTCGAGCTCGCTGATTGCCTCCTCGATCCGCTGCTTCCTCTTCACCTCCTCCGTCCACTTCTTTTTGCACAGGCTCCTGGCGTAGTCCTAGAATCCGCCCCACGGGGTCCGATCAAACATGGGGTCAGAGGGTCGAGCCGCATCGGCGATGCGTCGGCGATCTCGGCACGGGGAACATCGGGATCCAGATCGAGCCACCTCGCCGATGCATCGGCGATGCGGCGCGATCCTCCAACCCAATCTGCTCGGGCCTCGTTTGGGCGGTCTGGAAGTCCTTGATGTCCTTGTCCGACTGCGTCGCCTCGCCGGCGGCGAGCCCAAGGGAAAAAAGAGAGAAGGGGCGGGCCTTCTCGGAAGGCGCGGAAGGCCGTCCGGGCCTTCTGAGAAGTTTCCTGGGCATCCCCCGAAGGCGCAGCAGGCTTCTCAGAAGGCCAAGAGGCTTCAGTGAAGCCCCGCCGCCTTCCGAGGAGGCCTGCCCCTCCTCGCTTCCCCCCAGGGCGCGCCGCCGAATGTGGTTTCTGGGTCCTAACTCGGGTACACGGCGGCCGTTCGGGACGATCCGGGCACCCCTGGCACGCCCGCGGCGAGGCGCAGCTGCTGGCAGGCATCCCGAGGCTGGAGAACCTCCGAGAACTGACGAGAGCGCCCGAGAACCTCGAAGTTCGCACCCCTGGGCGCGCCGCCGGCCTTGGCCCGGAGCTCCGCGAGGCTGAGCCCCTCCAGCTCCCGCGCGAGCCTGCAGCTGGAGGTGCCGGTGCCCCGCCTCTGGCGCTCGCGGCCGCCGCTCCTCTCGGGAGGACGCGGGACTCGGGCTTTTGGGGTGCCTCGGCGTGGCCCGACGAGGCCATCGAGGGAAGGACGAGACCCCGTCTGAAATTTGAGGCGAGCTCCCGCTGCAAGCGTCCCACGGAAACTGGACCGTCAAAATCCAGGACGCGCTCGTCAAAAAACGTCGGGGATCTCCTGACCCGGGTCAATCCAGACCCAGGTCAGCAGGAAACGAAAAAACTGCAATGCAGGAAAAAACACTGCGACGCAGGTCTTCGCAAACCCGGGTCAGCCAATATGCGCGGCCGCCTCGCGGCCACGAGCGGCTCGCTAACCTGGGTCAGCCAGAGGGGTTCTTCGCAGGATCCTGCAGGATCCGGTGCCCTGGCTGACCCCCGTTTGCATTGACCCCCGTCTCGAGGCCCCCGAAAACGCAGGCAACTCCGAGTTCCAGCGTACTCGAGTTCTGCGTTTCCCCGGTCCTCGGCACGGAGGAGGCCGGCGACCACGCAGAATGTGGCCCTGCGGGCGAAGTGGCCTCCCCCTCAGAAACGTGGGGTGTAGGGGTAGGGTTCGCATGTGGCCCCCTAGGGGGGCCAACTCCAGGCGCGCCAGTCGTGGACCGGCGAGGGTCGCCACCGAACTGCTGGGGGTGGGGGGCCCTGTGGACCCGCGCCACAAGGTCACTCGGGCGCAGGGGCACTCTCACACGCGCGCAGCCGAAGGATGCCGAAGGAAGCGGGTCCTGAGGGAAACGGGTCCTGGGCCCTGGGGGCCTTCCCCATGGACTAGCCCTCTAACCCTCTCATCCCGAGTCGGCTCCCGACAGTCCCCGTGCCCATGGAGGTCCCCGCCAGCCCAGCGACGGCCGGAAAAACTCAGGACCGGAGGGCGTCAACTATATACCCATACAGCGATCCTGGCCAGGCCCGTCCTGGTCCCAGGGCCGGCGTAGGTGTATGGACCCGCCTCCCTGGGGACCCGCCTCGGACGGCGAGTTGAGACAGCCGCAGCTCAACATCGGCCCCCGGAACCCCCCTGGGGTCCAAACGCACCGGTTGTCCGAGCTGCATCCAGCCGCGGCGCCAAACACGCACCGTTGCCTCCACTCGCCCTCTCCTGGCCGCCTGCTTCGTGGCGAGCTCCTCTCGGAGCACGGCGAGGTGCTCCTGCCCCCCGAGGCGGCCCGGGCCGACGCGCTGTCGGTCAGCGCCTGGCTGCCGTCCAGCGCCTCGCGCGCGCTCATCGCTGCCGCAGGGAGGCGGGGCGCGCGACCGAGGGAGGGCTGCCGCCGCCCTCTGCGGACCCCACGTGGGATCACGATCGAGGCCCGGACCGGGGCTCCTGGACGTTTTGTGCCCGTCTGGAGGCCGCCGGGGGGGTCTGAACTTGTGGGGGCACCAGGCAATCGGTCAGGAGGGGTGCTGAGGCAAAATCGGCTCAAAATCGGTCCCCGGACCCCTCCAGGGCCTTGGACGCCCATTTCGAAGCTTCTCGAGCGGGGCGCGGCCAGCGAAAGCGGCGAAGGATGGACCAAGGAGGCAAGGATGCAAGGGTACACTGAGGAAGGTTGCCCATCCTTACTATGCGGGTTGACTGTAGGGGGGAATGGGCATAGGGGGGGACGCATCGACCTAGAATCGGCGATACATCGCTGGTAGATCGGCGATAGGCCTCCGATAATGAATCCGCACCTGCCTGGGATGGGTGACGCTGTCGGGCACCTGTCGGCGGTCAATGGGCGACTGGGGGTCGATGCATCCCCCCGTATGCCTATCCCCCCTATCGCTCCCCCCGACAAGAGCCGCTCGAAAACCAGAACGCCTCCCGAATCCAGGGCTGCCCTTAATTCAGCGCCCTCCTCCTCCTTCTCCTCCTCCCCCCCCTCCTCCTCCTCCTCCGCCTCTTCCTCCTTCTCCTCCTCCTCCTCCTCCTCCTCCTCCTCCTCCTTCTCCTCCTCCTCCCCCCTCCTCCTCAAATCACGGAGGGAAACTCTCGGCCGTCTGCGGCCTGCGGGGGGCCCTCGTCGGGCCCTGGGGCCGTGAACAGAAGCGACCCGGGATGAAAAAAATCGCCCGGCACCCGGGGGGAAGGTGGGCGCCGCACGTCAATGCACTGAGATGTGCGGGCCTTTGCAGGGCTGTACCTTGGGAAGCACGAAGACATACTAGTACTATATGTCCTCCTTGGAGGCGCGCGTCCGACCCGAACATATAGTATACCCATCTTGTACATGTAGTATCGGGTCGGGCGAAAGGGGGGGATAGCAAAGGGGGGGGTTGAGAATCAGCTCACGTAGCTGATTTTCCCGGCGCCTCCCGGCGCCGGAGGCGCCCATGTATCGAGGAATGGCCCCCTCGGTGAGGCCGAAACCAGCTGCATGCAGCAAATTTCGTAACCCCCCCTTTCCCAATCCCCCCCTTTCGCCCGGCCCGACTGTACCTGAACGGTGTTTTTCGTTTTCGTGTTGTTTTCGTTTCCCCTCGTGTTGTCTTTGATCCGCCTCTACCGCAAAACGAATTCGAAACGAAAACGGCCCCCGAAAGCGCCAAAACACCGTGTAGGTCCACCCCTGGGCCATTGTCCGAAACAAAATGGGCAGCTGATCTGGAACGTCCCACGCTCGCGAACCGACGTACTTCGGAGGCAATGTCCACCAAACTGTGCGCGGTGGCGGTGGCGGACGCAGAAACATGCAGGAGAGATCCATATCCATATACAGGGCGTCTTGGGAGTTCTTGGAGGGGGCACCACAAGACCGAGGCGCACTGGATATGGATAAGCATCAAGTCTCTAGGGGCCAGCTCTCTTGCCATACCCAAAGCGGGAGATCGAAACTCCAAGCTGCAATGGTTACACGCCGGTCGGAAGCAATCCGTAAAAACATGAAGTAGGAAGGCGGATCAAGTGGATTGGGTTCAGGCCCTCTCAGAGAACCAAAACAAGCAGCAAGAGCACATCGATCCTTGAGGTAGGAAGGCGCTTGAAATAGACTGCGATCTGGGAATCCGAGACTACCTACTTTCAACGGCCGACGTGTATCATGGTCATGCTCCTGCCCCCGAAAAGGGTCGGACTTCTGTCAGAAACCGGCCGAAGGCTGGCAAACCCGTGGCTGCTAAAACGGGGCTCCGGGACATGCTTTTTCTCCTCCGGGACGCAGCCTGTTCACCAGTTAGTGCGCTGAGCCTTCTTCCGGGAGTTGGTCCCTTCCTCCAGGAAGACAGTTTTAGCAGCCACGGATTTGCCAACCCTCGCCCATCTTCCGATTCTAGAGGCCTCCTAGATGGGGTCGGAGTAGATGGGGTCGGAGGATGGCGCCGCATCGCCGATACATCGGCGATGCATCGGCGATGTATCGGCGATGCGTTGGCGATGCACAGGCGATACATCATCGACGTGGGCGATGCATCGGCGACGCCGGCGTGGAGAGCATCGGGCTCCGCATCGAGCCGCGTCGTCGATGCATCAGCGATGCGGCGCGATCCTCTGACCCCATCTGCTCCGACCCCATCTAGAAAGCCTACAGGGCAATTTTTAAGACATCGGATTTTTAAACATATACGTTTTTTTAATACCTGATTAATTTATGAATACATTTATGCATGAACTCATCGTTGTTCCCTACCTAGGCTCTGCCTAGAAGGGGTTCTTCCTCTCTTAGCTTAAGGGGCCGGGCAAGGTTCCCCGCCCCGGGCGGTTCCCCCGGTCCCCGCCCCGCGGTTCCCCCAGTTGCGCCCCCTAGCTTTAGCATTAGCATTCGCTTTAGCATTCGCTTTAGCTTTAGCTTAGCTTTAGCTTAGCTTCAGCTTAGCTTTAGCTTAGCTTTAGCTTAGCTTTAGCTTAGCTTTAGCTTAGCTTTAGCTTAGCTTTAGCTTAGCTGTAGCTTAGCTGTAACTTAGCTGTAGCTTAGCTTTAGCTTAGCTTTACCGTTACTACTAATGCTGCTTTCCTAGGGGCTCCAACTCCTAGGTAGGGTCGCACTGGGATACTTTTGAAGACTAAATCCCTGCATGTTTAATACATGATCCGCACGCGGAGCATGTATTAAAAACGGCACTGTAGAGATTCTGGCGGCCCGCGCAGACGCCGGGTGCCCAGGGAGGGCTGCGCCGCCGCCCGCGCCAGGGGTGCAGGTGCGGAGGGCCGCCTGGCGGCGCTGTCGCGGCGGCTGGCCGGCCTGAGCCAGGGTGCAACAAAATGGCTGCGGAGGGGCCTGAGCCAGGGGGCTGCAAAGGGTACCCATGCTGGACTACCTTCCAGACCGCCCCAGCCCAACCCGAAGACCCGCACTTGACCCGAATTTCGGGTTGGGGGGGGGGGTACGGGTTCCATGTGTTTTTTCAATGTCCCCGACCCCCCCCACTGGAAATGGAAGGCAAATTGAGGCCATCGGGCTGGGTTGGGGTGGTTTGGCAGGTGGTGACATACAGTGCGGGCGCGGCCGCAAGAAACCCTCGCAAGATACCCAGCCCTGAAACCCGCAGGCGCGAGATGCACACGGGATGGAACCCAGAGATCCCTGAACGCACCAAATTCTTGAACGGCCGCGGGAAGTCACTGCGCAGCGCGCGGAGCGAAGAAACCCAGGTCACCCTGACGAAACACAGCTGGTTCCTTTTGATGGGCGTCCCCACTGTGCCGCTACCCTTCCTTCGGTTTCCCCCGTCCCGGCCTCCTGGGAGGCCCTCGTCGCCACCGCCGGATTCGCCTCTGGTCCGAACGCTCTCGGGCCCCCCAACGGACGGGCCTGGGGACTGCCAGGAAACGGCTCGGGATGCAGAACCCGTGCTGGGGTGGAAAGAGAGGAGAAGAGCAGATGGAGGAGGAAGGGAAGGAGAAGGACGAAGAGGAGAAAGACAAGGCGGAGGAGGAGAAGAAGGAGGACGAGGAGGAGGAGAAGGAGAACAAGGAGGGGTCGGAGGAGGCGAAGGAGGAGAAGGAATAAAGAGGGGCAGAGGGAGGAGAAGGAGGGTCCAGGACCCGTCTCCCTCAGGACCCGTTCCCAACATGCCTTCCGGTGGAAGGCCCAGGCGTCTCCGCCTCGTCAGAGGCCTCCTCAAAGGTATATGTGCAGATTGTGGCGGAGAGCCGCGCCAGATCGCCGATGCTTCGGCGACAACGGCGTGGTGAAAATCGGGCTCCGCATTTCGAATTGGGAACCAGCTACAACATTAATCTAATTCAGGAGTGGTTTCCCCGCCGAATATGTACAAGAAACGCGTAGAATGCTCGTAGATCGACGGGACATTACACAAATTGTTTCGCAAATTCGGCGGGGAAATCAAGGTTGAGGTAAACCAATTCTGTAGTCGATCCCCTACTCGAACATTGAGCCGCATCGCCGATGCATCGGCGATGCGGCGCGATCCTCTGAACCCATATACGCTCGAGGCCCATTTGGGAGGCCTGGAGTCATGGCGTCTTCACGACGGCGCCCCAGGGAGCTTCAAACAAAAAACACTTGCTCTGGTCGGAGGAGGAGGCGGAGGAGGGAGGAAAAAGAGAAGGAGGAGGAGGAGGAAGAGGAGGAGGAGGAGGAGGAGGAGGCGGCGCTGCAAATTCAGAACGAGGACCCAACTCCACAGGAGTGTTCAAGAACAAAAAAAACGCCTGGTCCTGGTCTTAAAAAGGCTCCCCCACTCCGCCTCCGCCTCCGCCTCCGCCTCCGCCTCCTCCTCCTCCTCCGCCTCCTCCTCCTCCTCCTCTTCTTCCTGACTCATCGAGGCGCGCATCCGAACGCCTCACAACCACCTGGCAGCCTAGACCTCTGCAAGGAAGGCTGCCACACGCGCTCCCTCAGGGAGCAAGCCAGCTTCGAGTCTCCTGAGGGCTTTAATCCCATGGGCCCCAGGCCCCTTACAGGGTGCAAGGAGACTCTTCAACTGTCTGGCGGAAAAGGAACCACATGCTCAGCACGCGATCGACGGATAATTCTAAGCCCAAAGAGAGGGCTCCGTGTCGAGAGCAACCAACTTATGCGGCCTCTCTCCTCTTGCCTCTAGCTTCCTGGAGGCCTCAACAGCTCTGAAAACAATTGACCCTGGGCACTCGGCCTGCCCAGGCTCTGAAACACGGCAGCGGCGGCGCCAGCGGCTGCCGTCGGGGCCATACCAATCATGCTCGAGAATCGGTCGCGCGGGCCGAATCAGGCCAGCCGCGCGGGGCCGAATCGGACGAGCCGAACGGCGATCGACGACGCAATCCCGACTATTCGTCGCAGTCCCGACGGTGCCAAGCCAGTGCGCGACACGCTCCACAAGCGCAAGCGACTTCAGCCGCCTCATCCTAGCCTCGACGGGCACACGCACTCTAGCAGCCGAATGCTTGGCCCACACATCGGCCTGATCATTTCCGAATTTGTCACGTCTAGACACGAGCCCCGACACCACGGCCTGGGTGGTGGAATGCGCCTTTACCTGTCGCACCACCAAGCCGTTCTCGCCGAGGCCCCCGAAATCTTCAAGAAGCCTCCAAAAGACACGCCACAAAGAAGCCCACGCACAACAGAAAGCCGTGGTCCTGTCGGGACCTCGAACATAAATGCCTTCAAAAAGACAAACTTGCTGTCAGTGACAGCCTCGATCGGGGGCATCGCCACTTTCAGCAGCTGAATTAGAGCAGTCAATTCAGCCCCGTCAATGTCTCTAACGGGGCCATCGCAGAGGCCGTAAACCACATCCAGGACTCCAAGCGGATCCGACGCGAGCGTGACGATGGCCCAGCCAGCCACAGCGCCAGCCGCCCAATCGCCCTCAAAAACGGCTCCGTCAAGGTAGGCCTCACGCGCTTGAATCAAACCTAAGCCCTCATGCCTGCTCCATACAACCTGCTGCTCACTTGGGGGCCTCCATCCCACGGGCACCTGAGTAGCTGCCCACAGACATCTTTCCAGCAATAGCTTCACCGCTGGTTCGTCAGCACGATCAGTCAGCACACGAAACTCAGGAGGCACGTGCAGCTGATCCGCTCCCTCGCAGAAGAAGTGTCTGTGTAAAAGCGTGCCCGTCGAATCACATGACAGGCAGCCATCATTCTCCACGTACCCTGCCTCGAACTTCCTGGACATCGGCCACTGACCATTCACGACCACGGATCTAAGGTGACCTCGTTGAGCGAAATCCAGTCTCACCCAGGTTTTTGCACTCCTGGGAAACACATCGGCCCGTGGACAACAAGAGACGGATCGGCTCCCATGCAGCGCCTTTCTCCAGATGCCCCAGAGACTCGTCCAGGGAAACATACACCCACAGCCAAGCTAGAATAGCCCTCTCCAGTAACTGCGTGATGTACCACGGACACACCTCCCTCGCATCGATCAGGTCACCTTCGTGCGTGAGCCACCGAAGGGGTTCTATGACCGCCCAGCCAACGCGCTCCAGAGAACGCCGAACAGCCCCACAAGGACCTTGAACCTGCGTCCAGTGCTTGATTCCCTGGCAGCCCAACATCGACACCTCCAGAACACGGGCAGGCACTCAGGACTCCCAGATGGCCCGCACGAAGGCTACGATCGGCAGCAGCGTAGCCCTGTAGAGCGGATCGATCTTGCCGTGGCACAAGAAAATCAAAGTCCTGCTCGTTCCTGCCGTTCGCGGTTCGATGGCTGAGAAAGCCAGAGCGCGAGCCGGCTCCAGTTCCCCAGCGCTACACCCAGTGACCGACATGCCATGCGAGTAGGTCGCCTCAGTGCCAGCTCGAGCAATCCGCGCTGCAACAAGACGTTTCTTGGTTCCTGTCCAGAACTTCTTCATGCGCCTGACCTTCAGTCGAGCTTGAAGCGCCTTAGATCTACGAACAGTGCGGCACATGCGCCTTCCCGAAGTGCAATCAACTCCCAAATTCCTCTCACGCTTCACTGCAATCGCACCCGTGGTTCGAGCCAGCTGACACGCAATCACCCCGCGCGCCATCGCATCGTTGGACAAGACGCGTGTTTTATCGGTGTGCACATGCAAATCATATTCAGCCAGAATGCTATGCATATCCTTAGTTTCCTGAACTCGTTCACGACGCACACGATCGCGCCCGCCCGCGCGTTGCAACAACAGATCATCAACCACCACCATAGGCATGACCGTTCGATGTAGTGAGTACACCTTGTCCAGGGGAAGGATGAGCGCTAACTTAAGCATCGTTGTCGCCCAGCCATCCCCTGGAAGAGTCGTTTGTTCCGTAACAATACCTTCAGACACCACTGCTCCCAACGCAAGAAACCTCTGCATACGATGCAGCTCCACCTGGGGCCTCAACTGCCATAGAGGAAACCCCGTCGCCACCGCAGCTTGAACGAGCCCACGATGCTGGACCTGTCCGAAGGCCTGCAAGAGGTCCAGGAGAACCTGAGCCGAGCACCAGAGCCCCTCACGAGACCCATCTTCCCGAGACTTGCACGTTGCCCATTCGGACCAAGCGGATTGCTGCCACACCGCCCGCTCACAAGACTTCCCCGCACACGCCCAGAAGTAAGACCTCTGATTGGCCTTCTCTCAAGACGAAGCCAGCGGGCGCCGCAAGCGGGCCGGTATTCTCGCCAGGACATGGATCAGAGCAATCGGTCGAACTCCGCCAAGCCTCCTGTAAGACGGCAATTTGGGCGCTGAGCTTGGGCCACTGCGCCGATGCCTCGATCGACATCAGAAGATCAATGAGACACTCCAGGGCCATGTCATCAAGCTCCAACAAATGTCTCGGACGTATAGAATCAAACCCAACGCCTGAGGTCTTCTTGAATGTCCGAAGGACCTTCCGCATCAGCTCGACGCTAGGCCTGGGAGGCCGTTCACCCAGCTCTTCAGGCCAGCTGACACACTGATGCCACTGCCCCACCTTCCACCAACGGGACCACTCCTCTTGCAACAAACACATTTCACGTTGCTTGTGAACAGGAAGGTGAGCACGTTCCCGATCATGGGCGCAGGGGGCCCAAGGAACCTTCTCACGCGTGATGGCGAACAGACCTCCAGCACCTGTGCCCGCTTGAGCAGTGACCCACTTCCTGAACTCGCCAATTCGTTGCTTCATATCGCGTTCTGCCAGCTGCGCAGCTCGATGCTTGACCGCGCTAGCCAGAATCTGCAAAGCCCACGCCTCCATGTCTCCCAAAGGAATCAGAGACAGCATGCACCACCAGCGTCCCATCTCCATCAGGTACCGAGGTCACTGCCGCAGACGCCGCACAAATAAGCTTGCGAGCCGAAGAAAGCGCACGCATGCGAGTAAGAGGCCGCTGCCAACAACCAGCAAATCTGAGCGCAACACCAATGCTCCGAAGCCAGAGAACGGCAGGCGACACACGGGGGAACCTGGGAGGCAGTCTGGGCAATGCGTCTACCCATTGGGGCCCCACCCTTCGATCGCGCCCACGCATTTTCCGAGCCAGATCGGGCGGCACCTGAAACACGTCGACCCATTGCCGCTCAGCAGCTGACGCGAATGCCTCCCAGCCCCGAGACAACTGCTGATGTGAAACTTGGCCCGGCGGCATGAACTGTCGAATATTGACCCACGTACTTTCGGAGTCAAAGCTCGAGCATCCATCAGGCCGATCATCAGGAAACAGGCGCGGGACCGGCAAGACTCGCATCTTGGGCCTGCCCACAGTAGAAGCGATCTGTAGACATACCACCGAATGGGGACTGAGTGGCACCTCAGGATGCACGTGAGCTGTCACTGTCTCAAGGCCATCTGATACCAAGAATAAACCGATCTGGCGGCCCGCAGGAGCACAGGTCCCAACATCAGGGCCAACAATGGTCGCATCGAACCAATCCATTTCCCCTGCTGCTCGTAGATCGTTTGGCTCATTGTTGAAGTCACCCGCAATCACGCAGGGCCTGCCTATCATGCGCACACGCTCCGCCACCAAGAATAAGATCTCCAGGCTAGCGGCTGCCATGCCAATCTTGCCATGCAGGCGCACGTTCACTAGGACAACCCCCGCCTTCGAGAATCCAGAATGCAAGCGGCACGCCGCCCGCCCTGGAACAATGACACATTCCACTCCTTCGATCACTCCCAGCCCATGATGCTGCGCACAACAACAGAGCAATCCACCACTACCTGAACCACGCCGCCCATCAATACACTCCACTGCAGGAGACAGCGTGCAAATCCAACCCAAAACACGCATCCGGCACGACTCCTCGCATTCACGTGGATTCAGATGTGTCTCCTGAACCATGATGGCGTCCGCCTGATCGAACATCAGACACTTCGCGTCCGCATCCTCGGTCGCCAACAAGTCAACAAACGTAGAGAAAATATTGACGTGCATCGTGAGCACCCTCCATATTTTCGGGTTAGGAATGAGACCTCCCTTCGCCCAGTGACCCTGCCGATCGTAATTTCTTGTCGGCCTCCTCACGAAGCTCCTGGACGAGACGCTTCTTGTCGGCATCTGAGTTCGGGAAGTCTGGCGACAGGCCTTCCACCATGTTGTCCCACTCCACGTCGGACAAGCTGCTGTGATGCACGTCCTCGGGCACTGGGAGACTATCACCACTGAGATCAACGATGCACGCCGTACCGCCTCCCGTATCCGTAGCACCCTCTGCAGCGCCGCCGCCTCCTGCCGCCGCTGCTGTGGCCGCCGCGGCGGCCCCCGCCAGCACCGCTCCTCCGACGCCATCTCGGTGGGCCGTGAGCGCCTGCAGCAGCACCGTGAGCGGCCCCGCCAGCGCTGCACCGACCTGCTGCTGCCAGCCAGGGTGACTGCTGAGTACCTTCGCCACGTGCGAGGCCGCCGAGACCGCCGACTCCGCCGCCGCCGCAGTGGCGGGGGGGCAACGAGCCGCCTTGGCCTTGGCCTCCTCCACCATCTGCTTGAGCTCCTGTTCCAGCTTGCCCACAAGGGCCCTGGAGGAGGCACATTGCCCCGTGGCCTTCTGAATGGCCACCTTCGCTTTGTCAAAGGAAGAACGGGCACGCTGCAGTTCTGTGGCCTTGCTGTCGATGGCCTGCTGCACGTCCTTGGCCTCCTTGACCGAAACCAAACCCTCGAACCCGATCTCGCGCTTCCATCGCATGTGCTTGAGCTTGTCGCGGGCAGACTGAGACAAAACAGCAGCGGCCGCTTCGAACTGATCAGCAGACATCTCAAGCCACACTTTAGCCTGCTCCGAGTCGAGAGCCTGCTGCTGCTGCTGCTGCTGTCCACCGCCGCCAGCGCCTTTGACCGTTCCGTTGCTTCCTGCCTTGCGCCGAGGGGCTTCGAACACAGCAGGAGGAGGATATGCCCAAGCACCACGAGGCACACGCCACGGCGGAGACGCAGGCACCAAGGACGCACCCTTTGGCCCCTGCCCATTGCACCCGGCCTGGCGGCACAGAGCACGGAAGCCGTAATTGTGATAGCCGCAAGACCCGCAGTCCCAGCCACACATTGCGGAACTGACACAGAACCGTCACCTGACGGCGCGGGCGGCAGGCGCGCGCGCGACAGGAGAGAACGCAGTGGGGGCCGTCCCTTCCCCCCGCCAGTAAGGCCAAGTCCTGAGCCGATGGCTACGGACTTGAGCCAAAATGGCTACGGACTCCTCCTCCTCCTCCTCCTCCTCCTCCTCCTCCTCCTCCTCCTGCTCCTCCTCCTCCCCCACCCCTCTCCTCCTCCTCCTCCTCCTCCTCCTCCTCCTCCTCCTCCTCCTCCTCCTCCCCTCCTCCTCCTCCTCCTCCTCCTCCTCCTCCTCCTCCTCCTGCCCTAAAAACGACGTGCCCCCATCGAGGCGTCGCAGCGGCCACGCGTCCAACCCCGGCGTGCGTCGAAACCCGGTCTCTGGGTGTCCCCGAAGCGGGCCTCGGGGCCCGCTCTCAAGGATGCGTCTGTTCTGGGGTGCGCTTACGTCGGGCCTGTCCATCCACAGGAAGAATATTCAAAAATAGTTCAAAAAGAGTCTGGGGACGATTTGTTGACATTTTTTTATACTTTTGGTTTTTCTGTGTTTAAATATGTTCGATTTGTCGTGCAGGGTCCCCCTTTAGGGGGACATGCCCGACCTCAGGGCACGCGTACTCAGAGCCAACGCCTGGGGGGCCTTCGTGGGAGCGACGATGGGCTAGCAAGCCCGATCAAGGGAGCACTACGTTCACGTCGGGCATGTCCCCCTGCAGGCGGATTTGGGGCGACGAAATAAAAAACGCATCAAAAATGCCCAAACGATATCCAGAAATGGTCAACAAATCGTCTCCTGATTGTTTCTAACTCTTTTTGAATACCTATACGACCACCCTTCGGGTGATAAGGAGGTTCGGGGGGGGGGAAAGGAACCAACGTCTAACCCGATCGGTCTCACTATCGATCTCGCTATCGATCTCACTATCGGTCTCGCTCGATCGATCTCACTCGATCGATCTCACAATCAATATCACTCGATCTACTTCATTCGATCAATATCACAATTGATCTGACTATCGATCTCACAACCGATCTCACTAGCGAACTCACGATCGATCTCACAATCGATCTCACAGTCGGTCTCACTATCGATCTCACGATCGATATCACAGTCGATCTCGCAATCAACGTCATCATCATCCTCATCAGCAACATCCTCGTCATCACATCATCAACAAAATCAGCATCAACATCATCATCATCATCGTCATCATCATCGGGGCACCATCATCATCACCATCATCATCAACATCCTCATCGTCATCGTCACCATCACCATCATCATTGGGACACCATAATCGTCACCCTCATCATCATCGGGACACCATCATCATCAGCAACATCATCATCATCAACATCATCATCACCGGAACACCACCATCATCGTCACCATCAGCATCATCACCACCATCATCATCGGGACACCATCATCATCAACATCAGCATCATCACCATCATCGGGCCACCAACATCAAAATCATCATCATCACCATCAACATCATCATCATCATCATCGGGACACCATCCTCGTCATCACCATCATCATCAACATCACCAGCATCGGGACACCATCATCATCACCATCATCATCAACAACATCATCATCATCATCATCCTCATCATCATCATCATCGGGACCCTTCATCATCATCTTCATCATCATCAGATCATCATCATCCCATCATCACCATCATCAAGATCATCATCATCATCATCGGGACACAATCATCATCATCATCATCATCATCATCTTCATCATTAGCGGCAACCTCATCAGCATCAACATCATCATCATCATCGGGACACCATCATCATCACCATCCTCATCATCATGATCAACATCGTCAACCTCATCATCATCATCATCAGCATCATCATCATCATGGGGACACCATCATCATCATCATCACCATCATCAGCATCACTATCATCATCATCATCATCATCATCAACATCATCGACATCATCATCATCATCATCATCATCATGATCATCATCAGTATCATCATCATCATCGACATCATCCTCATCCTCATCATCATCATCATCATCGACATCATCATCATCTTCTTCATCTTCATCACCATCATCATCATCATCATCATCATCATCATCATCATCATCATCATCATCATCATCATCATCATCATCGGGGCACCGACGGGACACCGGCGGGACACCGCGCGGCACCGGACGCCGGAAGGGAGTCATTTGGTCCGGCCGCGCCTCAGCCGGAGGCGGGATACCGTCGGGACACCGCGCGGCACCGGTTGCCGGAAGCGAGTCATTTGGTCCGGCCGCGCCCCAGCCGGAGGAGACTTTCTTCTCGCCCGCCCACGCAGCTTCGCCTCGCCCGCACGCACTGCACGCACGACCACGAAACCGAAATCGATTTCTCCGTAGGGGGGCTCTCCGTTCCACTTCGATCTCACCCCCTCACCTCCGATTCCTCCTGTAGAGGGACAGGCCCGACTTCAGCGTACTCGGAGTCAACTCCTGGGGGGCCTTCGTGGGAGCGACGATGGGCTAGCAATCAAGATCAAGGGAGCAGTACGTCGGACTGGCCCTCCTTGAAAACCCAAGATTAAACCAACTGCGCGGGATTGAGCTAGAATGTGCTCTTCTCGGCCACGGATATAACCCGGAGAAGCAATTAAGGAACCCCCCGGCGTTATCATTAGCACCGCGCCGTAATTAAATAATTATTTGGGGGGGTTTTCGCCGAGCGATATTATTAGCACCGCGCCAATGGAAGGAAAATAAATAATTCCAGCGCCCCGCCTCGGGTGGCATCCCAATTAGAATTGTAATGATAATAAGAATACGAATACGAATAAGGAAAAGCTGCGAAAAGCTAAGGAAAAGCTTAGAAAAGCTAAGAGAAAGCTGAGAAAAACTGGTGTGCCCCCTCCTGGTGCCAGGATAACGCTTCCGGGTGCCGGGTGCGTTATCCTTTCACCGGAGAGGGGGGGGGGGGGTCCTTAATCGCTTACTCGGGTTACAAGCGCGGATGCTGAATTCAACTCCAGGAGTTGCATCCTGACGTGTGGCCTCCCCCTGACCGTCCTCCTGCCTCCACTGCCTCTGCTTCCACGTCTCTTGGCGCTCGCCTCTGAGCAGGCGGAGCTGTGCTCTCTGGATTCGAGGCCCGCCCATCTTGCCTCGTGCATCCTCAAACTCCTCATCCTATCCTCCTTCGCCCCCTCCCCTCCTACATCCCCACTCTGTCACCCTTCTCCTCCTCATCATCTCTCTTCGTTCTCCTAGTCTCTCTCTCTCTCTCTCTCCTCCTCCTACTCCTGCTCCTCCTCCTCTTCCTCCTCCTCCTCCTTCACATCCTCACACTTTTACCGCTCATCCTCTTCTGTCCTCCTTATGTCTTCCTCTCTCCTCATCACGTAATACTTTCCCTTTCATCCACCCTTTCCCCTTTTAGCAACCTCTTCCTGCCCCCAGAACGAACCAGAGCCCACTGGAGCGCCCAGAAACATCCGTTCAGATCCGCCCGAAAACCTTGATCCTCGATCACCGTCGGCGAAGACGACGAACACCGAATCACTTTCGCAGCCCGGGGAATGCCGCGGGGCGCGACGCGAGCTCCCCCGGCAGCTGCAACAGGGGTGGTTCGCTCAAGGGATGGTCACTGCATGCATCCTAGGGCTGCGGCAGGCCTCAGCTGTATCGAAACGCGAAACTGGATCGGATCCGAAGCAGATTGGATCGCAACTGAATCGGCGCGGGGTCGTATCGGGATCGAATCGCCTCGGTACCTGCATGCTGGATCCTGGTCGGATGCCCCCATTCTTCAGGGGGCTTTGGCGGCACCGAGCACGGCCGGGAGCTGCGGGTCGATGAGGGGCAGGCAGAGCCCGGCCGTCTCTGACGGAGAGGAGGTCGCGGTCAAAAGCAGGTCTCGGCCGAGGGTCAGGGGCGCAGCATGCACCGGAGCGCGCCCTGCGCGGGCAGCTGCGCGCGTGGCAACGGAAGCTGCTCTGCGGCCATCACCCGCTCATCTGGATGCGTCTCTTACCCGCCGCTCTCAGTGGCTCACACACGCACGCACGCTCTGATCTCGAGAATCCTCTCGCGCGCACGCAACTCCACCTGCCCTCTCCCCCCCCGGGCGACCCACCCCTCTTGCATCCCGATACCAAGGTAAACCTCGGATTTGGTCGGGCCTGTGCGGAATTTGGGCGAAAAAATTCAAATATTCAAACAATGCACAAACATAGTCAAAACATAATCCAAAAATCGTCCCCGGATTTTTGTTTACTATTCCTGAATATTCCCCCTGTAGAGGGACAGGCCCGACTCAAACCTAGGATGAGGAAACCTCGCTCCAAAACGCTCAGGAACGGTCGCACTGGATCGCTCTGGCACGGCCGCGGCGCCCGGTGCATCCTCCAGACACGCCGGCTCTCAGAGATCCCTGGTGCACCCTCCTCCGAACTCACAGCATGAGCTCGACCGCAAGAAACCTTCCAGAAGAAACCCAACCCCTGAGGCCTCAAGACGTCCATCGATTTTGGTGTGGGAACTTTGGGTGACCCAAAAGAGGGTCCAGCTGCAAGGGGGTGATGCAGTACAGTTTTGGCAATTGTCTTGCACAAGTATTGCGCCGGAGAATTGTATTGCATTGTATTGCAACATAATCTATTGCACGCGGAAATCCAGCAACACATTTGCGCCCCAGAATGTATTGCACGCCCCAAATGTATTGCAACCCCACAAATCCATTGCACCAACTCTAGTGCACCACCCCCTTGTCGCTGGACCCCCTTTGGGGTCAACCCGAGGCACGTCACGCGCTCCATCGCAGAACCGAATAATCCCAAGAATCCAGAGCACCCTATAGGCAAGCAGGGTGCTTCTTGGCATGGCTTCCCACTGTACCCTCATCCGACCTGCCTTGTCCTCGTCCTGTAACAAAAACTGTTTGAACACAACCTTTCGGCCCTCCGCGCGGATTTCTCGGATGGGGGCTGGACCCCCCCTCGGGGATGGACATGCCTCCCTTTAGTAAAATCTGGTTTTGTGAAAACGACCTCGGGCCCAAACTTGGCGGGCGCAAGCCTGGAAAATAACGGCCACGGCGCTCTCTCGAGAACCGAAAACGGACAATTCACTAATCGACGTGTCAGGGTAGGAGGTCTATCCACCTCCGACCCCCTCCCCAGCGGCGCGGAGCGCGCCAGGGGCGGCGCCTGAGGCGCCCCCGGGGCCCAGCTCTCGCACCGATCCGAGACCTCCGCACGAGCTCCGCAGGTTTAAATGCATGATGGCTTGTCTTCGACTTTCGGGCGTTGGTAGAACTGGGCTTAGTGGAACCTCGTTTACTGATCTGTACCGGGGGCGACCCCTCGTCCCATTTCCACTAACCGGAACTGCCGTCACCCGACAAAACACAAGCTATGGCAAACCTGGTTTAGTGATTCTGGCAAATTCAAAGGCGCTGGGGCCCTACCACTAACGGGGTCCCCTTACCCGGGGTCCTGGCCATACCCGAGACTTGCTCCAGCGTCTCTGCATGCACCCCAACCCCCTCGCCATCGCTCGGACGTCCATTTCCCCATGCAGTTTTCGGCGCCGCGCGGGCTCCCCGGATGCCCCTCGCCGAGAGACAGCGCACGCGCCGGAGCGATGCCAAGACCCCTGCGGCCCCGACGCCGCTGCGCCGCCCCGCCTCGCGGCGTTGGAGGTGAAGCCGGCGGCCACGCCGCCCGTGACAGCGGACTGCTGCGGGGCGCGGGAGGCGCGGCGAGGGGGCGGGCGGAAGGCGGCGCCGCCCCTGCGGGCACCCCGCGGGCCCCCAGGCCCGGAGGGGCGCGGGGCAGGACAGGGCAAGGCAGGCGTCCCCGGAGGGCGGGGCCCCCGGGGAGGCGGCGCGTTGAGAGGACGAGGAGGCATGAAGGGGCCCAAGGACACGCAAATAAATACACACAAATAAGATGGTTCCCAATCTTTTCCCATATTTTCTGGGTTTTTAATCTTCCCGCCGAATTCCCATGTTTTCCCATCTTTTCTTGGGGATCGTTGATTAATTGTGTCTGTGTGCTCTTTCTCTCCTTGACAGAGGGGATGGGTGCCAGAACAGCGCGGAGCTGGCCAAGGCCGTCGTCGTGGCCTCGGCCTCGAAGGCCCTTGGATAGGGGAACAAAAAGTGGCATAAACATCAAAACTCTGAGGTCCGAGGCCTGCCGGCCCGCCGGCGGAGCGGTGCTCTGCAGGGCCGTCCGAGAGGCCTTGTGAGCAGTCTTCTGGGGTGGCGCTTTCCTCAGAAGACCTGGGGGGCGACATGAGCATAACCTGTCGGAGGGCGCCGAAAAGAAATGGAGGGCCGAAAACCACAGGGGCGTCGACTACCAAAAGGAGCGCCGACAATCAAAAGGAGCGCCGAAAGCCAAAGGAGCGCCGAACACCAAAAGGCGCCAAAAAGCAAAGGGGCGCCGAAAACAACAGGCGCCCAAAACCAAAAGAACGCCGAAAACCAAAGAAGCGCCGAACACAAAAAAACGAAAACCAGCGGGGCACCGAACACCAAAGATGTGCCGAAAACCAAAAGAGCGCCGAAAACCAGAGCGGCGCCGAAAACCAAACGGTGCGCAGAAAACCAAGGGGGCGCCGACAAGCCCAAAGGGCGTCGAAGATCAGAGCGGCGACGAAAACAAAAAAAAACGCATATAACCAAAGGGGCGCCGAAAACCTCAAAAGGTGTCGAAAGTCAAAAAGGTCGCCGAAATTCAAACGGGCGCAGAAAACCAAAGGGGCACCGGAAACCACGAGGGCGCCGAAAACAAAAAGGCACCGACAATCAAAAGGGCACCGAAAACCAAAACGGCGCCGAAAACCAAAGGAGGGCCGAAAACAAAAGGGGCGCCGAAAACCACAAGGGCGCCGAAGACCAAAGAGGCACTGAAAACCAAGACGGCGCCGACAATCAAAAGGGCACCGAAAACCACAACTGCGCCGAAAACCAAAGGAGGGCCAAAAACAAAAGGGACGCCGAAAACCAAAAGGGCGCCGAAGACCAAAGAGGCGCTGAAAACCAAAAAGGGCGCCGAAAATCAAAAGGGCACCGAAAACCACAACAGCGCCGAAAACCAAAGGAGGGCCGAAAACCAACGGAGAGCCGAAAACCACAAGGGCGCCGAAAACCAAAGAAGCACTGGAACCAACACGGGCGCCAAAAATAAAAAAGGACACTGAAAACCCAAAGGAGCGCCGAAAACGAAAGAGCTCCGAACAACAAAGGTGCGCCGAAAACCAAATGGGCGGTGGAAACCACACGGGCGGGAGCAGAAAAACGAAGGGGCGCCGAAAACCAAATACGCGCCGAAAGCAGAAGTGGCACCGAAAACGAACGGGGCGCCGAAAACCGAAGATGCGCTGAAAAACAAAACGGCGCCGAAAACCAAAAAGGCACCGAAAACCAAAAGGGCGCCACCGAAAAAGGAGCCGGAAACCACACGGGCGCCGAAAACCAAGAGGGCGCCAACAACCAAGAGGGTGCCGAACACCAAAGGGGCGCTGGAGACCAAAAGGGCGCCGAAAACCAAAGAGGCGCCGAAACCAAACGGCGCGCAGAACACCAAAGGGGCGCCGAAAATCCAAAAGGAAACCGAAAATTAGAATGTCGCCGAAAACCACAAGGGCGCCGTAAACCAAAGGAGCGCCGAAAACCACATGGGCGCCGAAAACCAAAGGGGCGCCGAAGACCAAAGGGGCGCCAAAAACCAAAGGGGCGCCGAAAATCAAAGGACCGTCAAAAACCAAAGGAGCGCCGAATATCACAAGGGCGCCGAAAACCAAACGCGCCGAAAAACAAAGGGTCAATGTAGCTCCGAAGCCCCCCTCAGCCAGGGCCCGCCAACTGAAAATACCAACAAAAGGAAGGAAGGAGAGGGGTAGCTTCGGAAGCCCCCCCCCCCTTTGGAAAGGGGAGCCCGGGCGTGCCCAAGGCCCCGAAAAGGAGGGGAGGGGAAGGAGGGGGTAGCTTCCGAACTCCCCCCCTCGTTTAGCCAGGGACTGCCAGGTACATACCCCTCAGCTGCAAAATCCAAACAAAGGGGGGAGGCCCACATCCAAATCAGGATCGGACAAACCACATCTGCCTAAACATCTTTCGAGGACTATGAACAAACATGAACGTAAACCTTCAGAGGACCACGTGGATGAGGAGGAGGAGGAGGAGGAGGAGAAGGAGGACGAGGAGGAGGAGGAGGACGAGGAGGAGGAGGAGGCGGTGGAGGAATCGGAGGAGCCCACCCCCCTTCGGAAGGGGGAGCCCAGGCCGACCCCGGGCCCCGAAAAGGGGGGCAGGGGGGGAGTTTCTGAGCCCCCCTCCCCTTCCAGGGAAGGCCCCCCCCCAGCTAAAAACCTCCTCCTCCTCCTCCTCCTCCTCCTCCCTCCTCCTCCTCCTCCTCCTCCTCCTCCTCCTCCTCCCCCAGGGAAGGCCACCCCCCAGCTAAAAAACTGGCAGCAAACGGGGGGGAGGGGGCGGAGCTTCGGACCCCCCCCCTTTTCCAAGGGAGGGGAGGGTAGCTTGAAGCTGGGGCCCCCTTTTTGATGAGGAGTGTTCCACGGGCGCACTCTTTCTCAGGAGGGCTTGCGCTTGCGAGAGTAACATGGCCACCAACAATTATTAGATGTGTTTCTTTTGTCGGTGGTACCACAAAACCCCTACTAAATACACAGGCTGTTTCGTTGAATTTCCAAGAAAATTTGCCCAAGAATGCTTGCGGGAGGAGCGTGGCCGTCAAACCCCGCTATGCAAAGGTTGTTTTGCTTTTTTCTTAATCGGTGACACCACCGAACTCTACTATAGACACATCGCTTTGTTTCTTTTTACGTTTTCAGGAGGCCCGCAAGCTTGGCGAGGAGGGCTTGCGGGAGGAGCGTGGCCACCAAACCATACTATACACAGTTTTGTTTTTGACGGAATACCACCAAACCCTACGTTTCACATATTTGTTGTGTTCTTAATTATCAAGAGGTTTACAGCTTTGACCTGGCCATAATCTGCGGGCCTCCTGAAGAACAGGGACACATCTGTTTATAATGGGGTGTGTTTGTATTTAGTGGGCATGTTCCTCCCGCAAGCCTTCCTGGCCAAGTTTGCAGGCCCCCTGAAAACCTTTCAAACCAAAACAACCTGTGTATAACAGGGCTTGGTGGTATCACCGACCCCCCCCCAAAAAAAAGCCTGTGTTTAGTAGGTCTGGTGGCCACGCTCCTCTCGAAAGCTTTCATGGCCACGTTTTCGGGCCTCCTGAAAACCCATAAGAAAACCCAAACAAGCCTGTGTGCAGTAAGGCTTAGTGGAATCACCGACCAAAAAAAACAACACACGCCTGTGTGTAGTAGGGTTTGGTGGTGTTTGGGAACCAGAAACGATGTTCCACTGGCTCCGGAGCTTTCCTCCGTCAGAAAGCAATGCCTCGCTTAATTCCTGATTTAGCCCTTCCATTCGTCTCTGTTTCTCGCTCTCTCTCTCTCTCATACGGATGTGAAGGAGGAGGAGGATGTTGTTGCCAAATGTCTCTCCCCATCTCGAGAAATCCATATGCATGTGCAATATCCACCTCTTTGCTTTTTGTTGTTCTCTCTCTCTTTCTCTGTCTCCCCCCTTTCTTTCGGCGTTTCTCTTGCTTTTCTAACACGCTGATGACGGTACTTACATCAGTCGCAGGCATGCATATGTGAAGAGACTGCAGATCGTGCCTGGTACCTCGTTTTCCTCATTCATGATTTGTTTGTTTCTCTCTCTCTCTCTCTCTCACAAACACACACACACACACACTCCTAACAACAAGTGAAGCCGCCCCTTTCTCTCAATATCTCTCGGTGGATTTGTGTCCTTCGATATCTCTCACCCTCTCTGCCTCCTTCCCTCCATACGTCCAGGAATGTGCTATATCCAGAAGCAGAGGCAAAGAAGGCGGAGTACGAAGAAAGTCTGTGTGTCTCTCTCTCTTTCTCTCTTTGCGCGCGCTCTGCCTCTCTCTCTCTCTCCTTCTCTATCTCTCTTCCACACCTGTGTGAAACAAAAAGAAGGGGAGAAGGATGACAACATGGATGTTATGTTTACCCGGTTCCAATTGAGCGACGATCAGAAACATGCTTTACGCGAGATGGCACGGCGACCTTGCCACCTTGCCCAGCGGCTTACGCGGGCCGCCAGCGCGGCACGCTACAGTGGAAGCGAGGGCGCTACCGCGCGAGCTTACGCGGGCAGCTTATACATCAATGTCGGTAAAGGCGACCCCCTGATTCCGCGTCGCTCAATTGGATTGTCATTGACACCCAACCTGAACGCCATGGGGATACACTGGATGTTTTCTGTTCCCCAGAGGCTGGAAATCAAAAACGCTTTGTGTTACCAGCCGTTCCAGCTTTCCCCACAGGCTGGCACAAGAAGAACGCTGTGTTTCCAGCTTTTCCAGCTGTCTCCAAAAACTGGAAAATGAAAAACGCGATGTTCTTCAACTGTACCAGCTTTTCCCAGAGGCTGACCGTTGAACAAAACTATGCATTTTAGCTTTTTCATAGTTCCCCAACCGTTCCCAAAGACTGACCGTCGAAACACGTTGTGTTCTCCAGCTTGCCAAACTTTGTCGAACACGCTTCCCTGCTGCGTAGTCCTTGGAAAATCTGGAACAGCTGGAAAAGCTAGAAAACCCAGCGCTTTTCGACGGCCAGTCTTTGGAAAAGCTGGAACAGCTAGAAGCTAGAACAGC